CAACAGCTTCTCGACAACCGACTAAATGCACGATCATGCAGCAGCCGTAGCACTGACAGAGCAGGCTGCCGACCCCGCCGCAGCACAACGTACCATGATGCGGACGAGTGGCAACTCCTCACGTGCAGAAGAAAACACCCCCGGACAGTATATCAGATCATTGCCCCAGACCAGATCGTGTCTGTTTACGCATGTTGCTTAAGCAGTCTGTTCAGCGTTCTCAGGGGTTCGAAGCAGGGATACCCTCAGTCCACAGCTCTGCAAGTTCGCATGGAAGTTTCATGAGACGGACAAAAGCAACCTTGGCACGACCACTTTACGACTCAAATTCCAACTACACGCGAATGACAGGCTGACCAATCTTCGTCTCGCCGATGATATATTTCGTCTTACTGGGTCGCTTAACCACATCACTGACATGCTTTCTGACTTGGTATCCGGAGCGGGAACTCGGGCCTTACACATGCACCCAGACAGAACGTCAATTATTGACAGTAGCCATCGGCCACCACGCGGTAAATTTGCACTCTGCAGCGTGAATGTGCATGGCAGACGGTCCAGGTTCTGCCGCCCTACCGCGCCACGAAGTACCTCGGACGACAGCTGCAGCGAAGCACGCCCCACACAAACGAATTCGATCATCGCATCGCCGCAGCATGAATTGTTTGAACCGGCATGATCACAATCAGATCGTCTTCGCCTTTTCCGTGAAACCATCACACCCACCATCCCTTATGGATGCGAAGCTTGGCTTAATCACAATGCATACCCAGCTCACGCAATAGCAGACGCTTCGCATGATCGTACATGCGCCGAGGCGCACTACCGTAGCCAGCACCCAACCAACACCACACGCAGCTGAGGCCAATACCAGCACCGACGACCGACACGATGCCACACGTGAACGCTCCGACGACGACAGGCGCGACGTAGACAAGCACGCCGGATACGACGCATCTCTCCGCGCTGGTGAAGCCAAAACAGATAGTTCGGAACCGAAGGTAGAATGGGTTTGACGAGCCAGTCGCAAGGCAGTGCGGCAATGAAAGGCAATGGATCACATAGATTGGGTTTCCAAACCACGATTGCGAACATTCCATTGACAAGGACAATTGCTTTACACCCGCAAGCAAGAGTGGACGCGACAGGTATTCCAATGGACCCCGTAGCACGACCCAGTCTAGGCTGCGAGACGGAGGGTACGGACACCGAGATCCAGATGGGTTGACGACGTCCGACATGGCGTCGGATCCAGCATAGGACTCGGCGACATGACTAGAGCAGACATTCTAAACATTGCATCAGCAAATCAGCGGGACTCTGTCGCACTCTTACTTCGCGGCACGCGAGGAGTGAGCGCGCCATGCGAACAGTGCAGCATCCCGGCGCCCCGGCGCCGCCCGCCCGCAGCACCCTGGGCGGTGCCCATTCGCGGGGTGGTCTTTGCACCAGGGCTGGACCCAAGCGGTGTTTTTGGCGATTTCGTGGGCCGTCTTCGTTTCGATTTCGTTTTGCGGGAAAGGCGGATTCGAGACAAAAGCGAGGGACAACGAGAACAACACGAAAACGAAAGACACCGTTTAGGTTCAGCCGTGCTTTGCACATGCGCTTTAACATTCCACCAGCATCAGCATCCCACAGACTGTATGGGGGCGCTCGTAGCATGCCCACGACCGCGCGGGGCTTTCGCAGCAGAGTGTCCACCCTCCTGCTTCTGCTGCTGCTCCTTGCGCTCGTCCTGATCCTCACCGTCATCGTTATCCCAATCCTGAACGTGAAGCATCGTCGGCTTATCAACATCCTCGTCCTTCTCCTCATCCCTCCTCGTCCCCTTTCTCGCTCCTTCGCTCTCCTCCTACTTGGTCGGAGCGCACCCGCTTTCTCTCTGTCTCTGTCTCTTTCTCCGTCCTGTTCTCTCTCTCTCTCTTTCTGTGTCTGCCTGCCTTCCCCGCAAATCGACCACCGAACCAATCCTTCCGCACCGCTGAAGGGCCACGGGGATGCGCTTGGTGGTGAAATTCTCCCTCGGCTTACCCACTCCAAAGACGAAGGAGGAGGAGGAGGCGGAGGAGGAGGAGGAGGAGGAGAAGCAGGAGCAGGAGGAGGAGGAGGAGGAGGAGGAGAAGGCTGAGGACGCGAAGTAGACGATGCTGACGAGAAGGAGGAGGATGTGGAGGAGGAGGCAGAAGGATTAGAGAGGAGGGAGGGCGAAGAAGAGACTTTGATACTGCTAGACTGAGAGGGGCAAGTGCTTTTCCGCTGGGCCGAACCCAGCGTCACCCTTCATCCCCCAACAGCCCGAGAGGGCGAGGTCGTCGTCGCCGTCGTCGTCGTCGTAGTCTTCGTCGTTTTCGTCGTCGTCGTTTCGTCGTCGTTTCGTCGTCTTCGTCGTCTTCGTCGTCGTCGTCGTCGTTGGCGGCGCCGGCGGCGCCAGACCGCTGGGACCCCCGAGAGGGGCGTGCGGACGGGCCCCTGGGGCCCTGGAATACAGCCAAGACGCTGCGATGGGGAGCAGCTCGAGTTCGGATGGGGGCTCGCTGCGCCTGAGGCCCTGCCGTGGTTCCAGACATGCTCGCGTCGTAAAGGAGCGGCGCGCAGAGGCGGGCAGGGGGAAGGTTGAAGGCTGCTGAAAAGGGGCTGCTTCCTGGAAGGCGCCGGCCCTACATGTATAGAGCATGGCCCGCGCCTGCTATTTGCACGGACGAAATGGACACGGAAAGAATGGGTACAATTCCCAACAGCGGATCTTGTTCATTTTGAACAGGACTCGCTGTCCACGCCGCCGCGGCCTGTGTCCATTTGAGACAGAAGGCCGCCTGTCCAACAGCGGCCGCTGTTGGTTTGGGACAGCGCGTGTTGTGGGGCATTGTGCCCATTCTTTCCGTACCCATTTCGGGCGTCCAGATTCTAGGAAGCAGGGGCGTCTCCAAGCAGCCTTCCCCCCTCGCCCTCCCCCCCCCCTTCCTGCGCGTGGCCGAGCGGTCGAGGAGCCCGCGCGGCCCATGGAGGAGCGGGGCGCCGCCCGTGGCCTGGTCGCCCGTGCACGCCCGCGTCGTGAGGAGAGCTCCGGGCCGGTGGCGCTCCGCCATGTTCGGCCCCCTGGGGGCCCTCGCCGGGCCCCGGGACCGTCCAGGAACGGCTCAGGACGGCGAGCCGGTCCCGGGGGAAGGGTCTGGACGTCTCGGGGCGCCATGCTGAAAAGTTTCCCCCCCTGAGCTGGTCCCCCCCCCCCAGGCGTTTCCCCTCGAGCTCCTCAAGGCACGTCGCACCTCCTGCACGGCCACCTCGACATGTAGGGGCCACTCCGTTCACATTCTCGCTCTTCGGCGGCGGCACCAGCGTGTCAAAGACGGTCTCGAGATCCCAGCACGTCTCGAGAAGAGCTCGGACTCGCGGAAGTAGAAGAATGGTGCTCCTTGCCGTTTCAGCTCTGGGACTCCTCCTTTACCATTCTCCATTCCTTCCACTCCTTGGGAGACCAGCACGATTGGTCCCTTATTGTATCGCTGAGCTTTGGCCCTGCCCCTCAGGGACTTGCTGGGGCTGTGGATCTTCGGTCAATTCGACCTCTACCGTTGTGTCTCCCTCGTCTCCGGCTTGTACTTGATGAGAGGGGAGGATGATGTGGAGGAGGTGGAGGGAGGAAGGAGCGTGAGGAGGAGAGGGGGGGGAGTAGGTGGAGGATGGAGGGGGAGAGGGGGGCGGAGGATGGGAGGTGAGGAGGGAGGGCGAGGAGGTGGAGGAGCGAGGTGGAGGAGGCGGAGGAGGAGGTGGAGGAGGTTGAGGAGGGGGAGGTCCAGGTCGAGGAGGAGGTGGAGGAGGAGGGTGCTCTCGCAGGGGTGCACCCTCCGGCGCCAGGTGGGCAACAAGGGCCGCTACCTCAAGATAGAGGCCGCCGGGAGCGGCCGGCCAGGCCCAGGCCTCTGACGCCCTGGCAGAGGTCGGCGCAGTGCTCGGGGTCCAGGGGCCGTCTCGCTGCACCGCGCGCTCCTCGGAGGTGTAGGCTCTCTGCGCCTGAGGCCTCCTCCCCGCTTGCCTCCCCTGCGGCCGCCCTCTTCATTTCCACCCCGTCTTGGTTCGTGAGCCCGTGGCGTTGTGGAAGTCAACCACCCGAGAGGAAGCATGCTGCCAGATAATTTCCAGATGTCTGAGAGCAGTTTCGAACATGCTTCTAAATCTGCGAAGACATGTTCGGCACATGCTTAGAACATGTCTTACACATGTCAAACACATCTTTCGTTCAACCACAGGATTTGTCGTGGCATCCACAAAACCATAGCGCGGTGTAGCCCGCCCGCTGTTCGAACGTGTCAGCGGCCGCTGGCGCTGCGGGCCAGAACGTCGGGAGGTCGCTGCTGGGCTCCAGGCTCTGGGGCCGCCCAACACTCATTCGGGGTGAACCGCCAGCCCCTTGCGAACACACGCACACACACACAAACCGGGAGCGGCCTGGAAGCTTCGGTGCCTCGCCAATGAAAAAGAGGAGGGCAGGGAGCGGGAGCTAACACACACAGACACAGAGACACACTCACACACTTACACACTGAAAAACGCTTACGCGCTCACACACCTACACACAAGCACACGCACGCACGCACGCACGCACGCGCACGCACGCACGCACGCACGCGCGCGCACGCCAAAATCATACCCCAAAAGCGCTTCCAGTAACCCACACCGGCCAAACGCATCAACTACACACGCCATTCACCCGCATCAGCAGCGTCGCGCGAATCGTATACAGCAACATGCATCATGTATAAAGGCCAACCACGTGACACGTATCAGACTTCAACAACGAGCAACCATATCAGCCATCATTACCAGAGACCTCGCAGACACGGATCACGGACGCACGTCGATCACACACAGCAGTCGAGTTTACCAGCACCGCGCGTCATTTCCAGACGGCAATACATACGTCACGCGTATGCGTTCGTTGATCTCACTCATCAGGCTTGCACCAATACCATGAGTCAGTTCCATACGTCAGGTCAAGTACGTGCGTTCAGAACCAGCATCATGAACTGATAGCCGCTGATACCAAACATGACAACACCGTGTGGTGACCCCGAGTTCCCACTGACTCACCACACGCTGTAGTCACCGCAGCGCTGGAGGCTCCCAACCCAGCCCCGGGAGGGTTCCTGTCGGGACGCAGAAAGGGAGTAGATCACCCGGGCGAGGGGGGCGATGCCGAGGACGAGGGAGCAGGCGCAGAAGGAGGAGGAGAAGGAGGAGGAGGAGGAGGAGAAGGAGGATGCGGAGGAGCAGGAGGAGGAGGAGGAGGAGTGGGAGGAGGGGGAGGAGGAGGAGGAGGAGAAGAGGCGGAGGAGGACTAGGACGAGGAGGAGGTGGAGGAGGAGGAGATGGAGGCGGAGGTGGAGGAGGCGGACGAGGAGGAGGAGGAAGAAGAGGATAAATATAAGGAGGAAGAGGAGGAGTAGGAGGAGGAGGAGGAGGAGGAGGAGGAGGAGGAGGAGGGGGAGGAGAAGGGAGGGCGGCGTCTGAAAGGCACTTGCGCCTTCAGCTGCTCAGCTGCTCAGGAGGAGGAGGAGGAGCATCAGGAGGAGGGAGGGGATTTTGATGATGCTGCTGCTGCTGATGTTGATGCTTATGATGATGATACTGATGATGATGCTGATGTTGTTGTTGATGATGCTGATGCTGATGCTGACGCAGATTCTAATGCTGCTGCTGATGATGACGACGATGCTGACGGTGCTGATGCTGCTGATAATGATGAGGATGAGGATGAGGATGCTGATGACGATGCCGAATATGAATACGATGATGATGATGTTGATGGTGATGATGATGGTGCGGATGCTGATGATGCTGATGCTGCTGTTGATGATGCTACTAACGATTTTTATGATGCCGATGATGATTATGAGGAGGAGAAAGAGGAGGACCATGATTCTGATCATGATGATGATGATGATGATGATGATGATGATGATGATGATGATGATGATGATTATGATGAAGATGATGCTGATGACGATGATGGTGCTGATACTGATGCTGGTGATGATTAGGCTGATGATGATGATGATGATGATGATGATGATGCTGATGATGATGATGATGATGCTGAGGCTGATGTTGCTGATGATGATGCGGAGGATGAGGATGAGGATGGTGATGCTGAGGATGATGCTGAGGATGATGATGATGATGATGCTGATGCTGATGCTGATGTTGGTGATGATGATGACGATGATGCTGATGCTGACGCAGATGCTAACGCTGCTGATGATGATGTTGACGATGCTGATGCTGATGATGAGGATGATGATGCTGATGATGATGTTGATGATGATGATGATGATGATGATGATGATGATGATGATGCTGACGATGATTAGGCTGATGATGATGATGCTGATGCTGATGAAACTGATGATGCTGATGATGATGCTGCTGCCGATGCTGATGCTGAGGCAGATGCCAATGCTGCTGCTGATGATGACGATGTGAATGAGGATGATGATGAGGATGATGCTGCTGCTGATGATGGTGCTGATGCTGACGCTTCTGGTAACGAGGGTGATGCTGATGCTACTGCTGATTATGATGGTGATGATGCTGCTGATGATGATGATGCTGCTGATGCTGATTCTGATGCTGATGCCGCTGATGATTACGATGTTCATGATGATGATTATGATGCTGCTGATGATGCTGACGATGATGATGCTGTTGATGCTGATTTTGGTGATGCTGATGCTTATTATGATGATGATTATGCTGATGATGACGATGTTGGTGCTGCTGCTGCTGATGATGCTGATGATGATGATGGTGATGATGATGATGATGCTGATGATCATGACGGTGATACTGTTGTTGATGCTGCTGATAATGATGCTGCTGCTGATGATGATGATGATGATGATGATGCTGCTGATGATGATGATGATGATACTGATGATGATGATGATGATGATGATGATGATGATGATGATGATGATGATGATGATGATTGTGAGGAAGATGCTGATGATGAGGAGGAGGAGGAGCATGAGGAGGAGGAGGAGGAGGAGGAGGAGGACGAGGGCGAGGAAGCGGGTGAAGAGCAGGATGAGGAGCGAGGCGGAGGCGGCGGCGAAAGGGGAGGGGCAGGAGGAGGGCGAGGACGCAAAGAAGGAGGAGGAGGAGGCGGCGAAGGAGGATGGCTCCCGAAGTCCCAGACCGAGAACACTCCAGACACCGTCTCCGCCCCTGGACCAGCCGCAGCCAGGAGAGCTGCCGTCCCTGCCCCGGATCGTCGGCACTCGGCTTCCGCACCTGTGGCTGATTGGTCGTCGCCCTCATCCTTCTCCTCTTCATCTTCTCCTCCGCTCCTCCTTCTCCTTCTCTTCCTTCTCCTCTTCATTATCGTCGTTTGCCGTCGTCGTCGTCGACCTCCTCCTCCTCCTCCTCCTCCTCCTCCTCCTCCTCCTGAGAAGGGGCTTCCTTCCAGGCCATGTGGGTCCCTCGAGGCTCACAGCGGCCCCTCCAAGAAAGCGCAACCAGGTTGGCGAGCGTTCCCCATGGACTCCAGCGAGAACTTCCCCCTCCGTCTTTCTCTGCGGCCGCCTGCAGTGCCAGAGCCCTTGTTGGCTCGCGCGCGCCTGCGAGGGAAGGGGCTGTGTTTCGATACGCCCAGAGCTGGACAGACTGATGCCAGCACGCAATGCATCACGTAGCACGTGTGGCGCATTTGACGACGTGTTAGACTCGATTCATACTTCAGGGGCAACGATAGAGGGGAGGATAGGCAAAGGGGGGGACGCACCGACCCCCAATCGCCCATTCATCGCCGATTGGAGCCCGATAGCCCCTCCGCGCCCAGGAAGGTCCAGATTCACCATCGGGGGCCTAGCGCCGATCAGTCGGCGATGTATCGCCCTTTCCAGGCCGGTGTTTCCCCGCCTATGCCAGCCCCCCTCCTATCGCCGCCCCCCAGTACTGTCTCGCTGTGTCGTGTCTCTGCGAGCCGCAGGCGGCCAAGCAGCCTGGCGCCGCCGCGGCGGCGGCCGCTGCGGATCCGAAGCAGTTCGAGGGCAAGCGCCGCCTGTTCGTCAAGAACCTGCCGTACGACGCCGCGGAGTCGGAGGCCACCCGCAGCCGGGGCCTGGACGTTAGTCGGCGGCGAGCGAGGGGGGAAGTGAGCAGGAGAAGGCCTTCTCAGAAGGCGGCCGGCCTTCTCAGAAGGCGGCCGGACTTCTCAGAAGCCCTTCTGAGAAGTTGTCAGTGTCTTCGGGGAAGGCTCAGAGAACTTTTCAGAAGGCGGGGAAACCTCCGAGCCTTCTGAGAAGGCCCGCTCCTTTTCAGTCACCCTCCTGGGGGCGACGACTAGTAATTTGGGTGCAACTCCTGGGAGGTTCAATTCAGCATCGGTGCTGGTATACAGTCAAGACGCTGAAGTAGGGAACGCTTTGGGCTCAGGAGGGGCTCGGGTTGGCCGGGCCGTTCCTTATATTTGTGTCGTGGAACCTGTCCGTGACCTAGGCCCGCCGTGGGCAGAAAAGCCCTTTCGTTCCTCATTATGCGTTCCTCGGGGTAGCACGATGACTGTATCCGTGGTCAACGATCGTGAAGATCGGAGAAGAAGATTATGATTAGCAGGCACAACATGTGTGCAAGTCGGGTGCGCAAGAGAAGGATCGGACGAAGGAGCATGCAATTGAGCAGAGCAGGTGGTGACGTAGAGCGCAAGGAGTGCAGGAGTGGTTCGTTGCGCGGGCTTGATGGGGAAGGGACACGCAGGGAATCCATGTAGTGCAGAAGTATAAGTATGATGAGAAGCGGGGGGATGGCCCAACCAAATGTGGTGTCTTGGCATGTCCTGGCGCCGCCTGGGGGAGGAATAGGGAAAGGAGGGGAGGTGTTGGCGCTCTTCCAGAAGTGCGGGAAGGTCGCGGATGTTCGCATCCCCACGAGCTTCGGCCGCTGCAAGGACTTTGCTGCGCGCTCTCGTTGTGGTCGTTGTGGTCGTCGTGTTCGTCGCTTACCCGTTCCTGGACTCCCTCTCGCCGCGAAAACGTCACGACGGGCGTTTCTTGTTCGTTTCGGCCTCTGAGGTCCCTCGCCGGGCACAGGACCGTCAAACAATTAGTCAGGATGGGAAGCCAGGGGATATGTCGAGCGCTCTGAGGGTCCACGTCATGAAAGCAACACGACGTCAGGGATCTAGGTTCTGAGCATTTGTTTTTTCCTGATTTCTAAATGTTTCGCGGATCCCCACCAGCCCTCCCAGTAACGATGCCCAAGATAGTGGTCGGGAGAGGGGAAGCAGAGAAGCACAGGGTGAAGCACGGTGGCCAACAATGCTGAACTCAACGACCTCTGGGAGCTTCTCGGATGCCTCATGGAGACATCCCTGAGCTATATTTGTGCCCCTGAGGCGCTCTTGCCACTCGCTTGAGGCCCCCCCTCGGAAGCCTGAGCCTGGACCTCCACGCGCGCAAGTAGAACAGTGGACCTTGCCCAGATCCCGGCGTCACGTTTTCCGCACCGCGGGCCCCCGGAGGTCTCGACCCATTCTCCAGGCCCCCCCCCATCGAGGCGAGGGGCACGCCTCCGCCCTGGGAGTGCGCTGCGCTCGCGGGCAGCGCGGGCGCAGCTCCTAGGGCGGCGGGGCGCCGCTCCCTCGTGGCACTTGGCTGGTCCTCCGGAGAGCACTGCGCCCAACCGCCGGCCTGCACGGGAGCTCTGGCTCCGCGTGTCGCTCCGCCAGTTCTGGCCCACCATACTTCAGCGCGACACGCCATCCATCGCCGTCACCCCAACATACTTACACTATATGTGCGTCGCCCCCCCAGGGGCGACGCGCGCACCGAGAAATCTTCTAGTATATGCGTCGTGGCGGGCGCTTTCTGGCTACACAGCTCGGGAAACGATATATTACAATATTGATATACTATATGTTCGGGTCAGACGCGCGCCTCCAAGGAGGACATCTAGTATTAGTCTGTCCCTGCGCGTCCCAATCCACGTCCCCATTCAGCGTCCCGAGCCCTTCCCAGCCTCCCGCGGCGCGCGGCGGAGCGGCACACCGTCCGCCCGCAGGGCGCAGCGCGTCTCCCCGGGGCCGCCGCCGCCGCGGCACGCTATGCGCAGGAGTTTCCCTGCGCTGCAAACCAGACGTTGCTCTCGTGGTGCTGCTCGCGCGTGCCACTTGGCATCGCTCGGACGTGTGCATGCTTTCTCGGCGAGAACCATCGAGGTCCATCCTGGACCATCGAGCAAACAACAAATGAGCGAAACCGAACAAACCGGGGAAATGGACGTCCGAGCGACGGCAAGGCCAGCTCTCGCTCCGCGCTGCTCAGCCAAGCATATCGGTGTCCATTCGGATGCTGGTGGTGCTGCGGGGGTCCGAAGGGTCCTCTCCCCCCCTCTTCCTCAGAGGAGGCAGGCTCGACCGGCAGCTCCTTGTCTGGTGCCCTGTTGCCCTGTCTCTGCCCCATCGCCTCCCCCTGCCAGTTTGGCGGGTGTGGGTAGGGTTAAGTCGGGCCTCTCCCTCTACAGGGGGAATGTTCATAAATAGTCCAAACATAGTCTGGGGGCTTTTTTGGGGGATTATTTTTGAGCATTTTGGGTGTATTTTTTGGGTGCTTTTTAATTTTTCGCCCAAAATCCCCCTGTAGGGGGACATGCCCGACCTAAGGGTAGGGCCATCCGTTGTGGCTGGCTTGGCTGAAGGGGGTCCCTGCCCGCGCCCGCCTTATTCGCGCCTTGTACCATCCGCCTTATACACCGCACTACTGCAAAGCACGCCCTGCGCCTCTGCATCCTCATTTCCAGTGGCAATGGTACCCATACCGCTATCCTTCCCTCGTTTCCCCCTCTTTGGGCCTCCTGGGAGGCCCTCGTCGCCATCGCTGGCTTCGCCTCGAAACTTCGGCCAGAACGCACTCCGGAAGAGGTCCAGGGAGCAAATGTATCGGTATCGTTTGCTTTTCTCATCTCCTTCGACGCCTCAGATGTTTTTTGACGTGGGCCCCCAGCATCTCCATCACGTGGTTCCAAAACGGACCCCAGTGAAAGGGACTCTTGGCGATGCCGACTTCTCAAGCCCGCTCGGCTTCGCCCGCAGGGTCGTCCCGGAACGCCTTCGCTCACTTTCCGAAGCCCCGAATGCAGCGCCGCGGTCTCAGGAGTCCCTTCCCCGCCTGTTCCCTTACGCCTCGCTCCACCCCTCCCCTGGGATTATGATGTTCCAACCTACTTTAGCCTTGATCGCCGGAAAGAATTTTCACGTCTCGGGTCCTGGGAGACACTCGCCCGACACCGTTTCGACACTCCTTCGACACTCTCGCGACACCTTTCCGGGTGCTCGAGATCATCTCTCGGATGCGGCCCTCAAGTGCGATGGGAGCCTCACGACCCTTGGGGCCGCCTTCTTATGATAAGAAGGCGGCCCCAAGGGTCTCTCCGCTTGAGCGGCCCCCAGGGCCTCAAGCGGAGAGACCGTGGATAAGTTATCCACGGTCTCTCCGCTTGAGCGGCCCCCAGCGGCCGGACACTTCAGGGCACGGCCGCCGCGACCTGCCCCCCCCACAGCCCGGGCCTCCGAGGGGGCCCCCCCCCTGGCTGGGGCGCGCTCCGCCGGGGCCCGCGGGGAGCGTGGCCTGCCCGGCCACGCGCCGAGGGTTAAAATTCGGGCCTGTCCCTCTGCAGGGGGAACATGCAACCATTCATAAAACACAGCCTGGGATTTTTGCTTTCTTATTTCTTGACCATGTTTTTTTTTTTTTTTTTTTTTTTTTTTTTTTTTTTTTTTTTTTTTTTTTTTTTTTTTTTTTTTTTTTTTTTTTTATACATATATATATATATATATATAAAATCGTCGAAAATTCCCCTGTAGGGGGACACGCCCGACGTAAGCAGAGCTTTTGGCATCGCTCGGACGTGTGCGCTTTTCCTCCGGGAGGACCATCGAGGAGCACCTGGGATCCTCTCGCGAGGCAGCGCACGCGCGACGCGACCATCGAGGAGCATCTGGGCTCGTCTCGCGAAGTAATGCACGCACGAAGCCGAAAAGTGCACGGGGAATGGACGTCCGAGCGATGGTGAGGGGGGTCGGGGGACAGGGGGAAGGATTCTCAGAAGGAGGCTGCTTCTTAGAGGGCGCGGGCCTTGTCCATAGATGTAGGGCTGGCGCCTTCTGAGAAGCAGCCTCCTAAGAAGCCTTCTGCCCTCCCTCTATCCTTGAGTTGGGCGTGTCCCTCTACAGGGGGAATGTTCAAAAATAGTCCAGAAATAGTCTGGGGAGGATTTTCTGATTATTTGTGAAAAGTATGTTGGGGGTATGTTTTGAGTACCTTTCACTTCTCGCCCAAAAAGTCCCCCAGTAGGGGGGCACGCCTGACTTTCATCTACCCCCTTGTGCGCCGCTGACCTGTAGAGCCAGGGGTTCTCACATGGCCGATCCTTGATCGCGGGCCGCTTTTGCCCCAGGGCCCGCGGGGGGCCCCAGGAGAGAGAAGACGGAGCAGTCAATCCAGGGCCCCGCGCGCGCCCACGACAAGAGTCTCAGCTCCGAGCAGTCAAGAACTGACATGACCAGATGGCTCTCTCATGAAGCCGCACAAGCTCAAGGACCAAACCATATTATATATATATATATGCATAGAGGACGGATGTGCGGAAAGCGAGAAGGAAGACAGCAGTCATCAAAGCGTCCCCAGCCTCTGCAGAGTCGAATATGGGCCATTTCTTCCTGACGACTCTTCCTTTAGCATGCAACTCCTGAGAGGTCAAGTTTAGAATCTGCGCTGGTACATCCCAGGTCGAACACCGGCCTCGTCTCGCTCAAGCGCTTAATCCCAGCTAGTGCGGCGGCTTACTCTCGCTTGATCTGTTCTCCACCCCTTGCGGCTCGATCTCAGGCTTCAACCAGCCTTGTCTGGCTCACTGGTCCCTTCATCGGGCTTGATATCATGTATATGTATCTGTTTATGTATATGTATATTTATATACATATACATATATAAGTACATATGTATGCGCATATAGTTATAAATACATCGATACATATATGCACATACACATATCTATATATATATATGTATCTATGTCTACATATATAGATATATACATATATACATACATATATATACATTTGTACATTTATACACATATACACATTTACATAATTACATACATATCTATAGATATATGTCTATGTCTATGTAGATGTGCAGCCTTTACTCGTTCTGGCGAGGGCCTCCCAGGAGCCGCCTCCCTGCTCCCCCCTCTCCCTCGAAACCGCAGCCCCTTGGGCTCCAGGCCGTGCGGCCCCCAGGGCGCTGGCCCGCCGCCGCGCCCCAGCGCGGCGCGGCGCGGCGCTTCGCGGCGCGGCGGCGCCGCGGCGGGGCGCGGCGCCGCGGCCCGCAGCGGCTCGGCGCGTCCCGCGTACGCCCGCGCCTGCCGCCGCGGCCGCGCGACGACGACGACGACGACGACGACGATGGCGACGACGGCGACGGCGGCGACGACGGCGACGACGACGGCGACGACGAGGACGGCGACGACGACGACGACGACGACGACGACGACGACGACGACGACGACGACGACGGCGACGGCGACGGCGACGGCGACGGCGACGGCGACGGCGACGGCGACGCCATCCACGACGTCGACGTCGACGACGACGATGACGCTGACGACGACGGCGTCGCCAACGACTACGACGACGACGGCGACGCCACCGACGACGGCGACGACGGCGACGACGACGACGACGACGCCGACGTCCAGGCGCGCCGAGGCCGCTTCCGAGCGCGGCTGCCGCCGCGGCCGAGCGCTGCCGAGGTGGTGCCCATGGCCTCCGGGGCTCACGTAAGGGGGGTCACCGCTACGGTAGGTTCGCGACGAGATGACCTGCGGCGACCCCGCCGCTGGCGTTCCACGCTGGACGCCGCTGGCGACCCAGAAGCGCTCGATGTTGAACGATCTGACATTTCGGAAACGGCCGATCGTTCAAGTTGGAACGATCCCCGCGGTGTCAGGAACCAACGCCGGGGTCGACATGACACGAATCCGCGGTAACGGAGGTCAGCGCTACCGCCGGGGGTCGGCCAGCCCCCTCTGGCTGACCCGGGTTGGGGAGCCGCGCGGGGCCGATTCCCGCGTCCCGTCCCCCGCCGGCCCGCGTCCGGGAGCCACTGAGCGGCCGGCAGGGCTTCGCGACAGGGCCCTGGCCGACCTGGGTTTGTGCTGGGCCGGGTTCGTGCGTCCCCGAGGCCTCCTGGCCTGGCGCGGGCCCAGGCGGCGCCCATCGCGGGCTCACGGACTCCCTGGAGACCGGGGAGTGGCAACGAGCCGCGCAGAAGTAGAGCAGCGTTCGGAGGTCCGCGCGTGCTTCTGGGGTCGGCGCCGGATCCCCATCCGCACACTCCTGGCGGCGCCTCTGGCGCTGTTCCCAGCGCGTTCCGCGGGCTGGAGGAGGGACGTGGGAAAGGGGTGCTGCGCCGACCAGCGAAGGGCGCGCGGGCCTCCGACGGCTCCTCGAACCGCGCTTGGCACTTCGGGGAATCCTGCCTCCAACTGCTCCAGTCACTGCACGGGGCGGCCGGGGATTTCCCACACGTGGGCGCTCGCGGGCGCCCCGTGCCCCGGGGGGGCCCTCCGAGGTTTCTCGCCCGGCGCCCGCCCGTGGGCGCCTCGTGGGCGCCCCGTGCCCTGGGTGGGTCCGCGGATGTTCTTCGCCTGTGGACCGCGCGTGGCCGCCTCCTCGTCGTCGTGGGCTCCCCGTGCCCCGTGTGGGCAGCAAAGCTCACGCGGCATCATCAGCTCGCACCGTACAGCCGTGGAGGGCGATCAGTGGAGAGGAAGCATGTTGCCAAACAGTTTCCAGAGGTCTAACACATGTCTGAAACATGGTTCAAGTGGTAAGCTTGTTGAGAGCCTGTTTCCTAATTTAAACTCAATGATAGGACTGTTAGGGTGTCCATTGTCGTGGCATCCGCAACTGTATAGCTCACACCTCCTGACATACACGGCATAGGTTTCACACCACACAGGTCACACAGTATAACCAACACACAGGGCTCACACCACACAACTTACACAACGGGATATGCACCACATGCCTCCCGCCACATAGCTTGCACAACATAGCCGACATCAGATAGTTCATTCCGCGCAGCTTCAACCTCCACAGTGCAATGACTCACGGTTTGGCGTCCACGTTGGCCAATCTATTTCCCAACGCCATTTTGTGGTGTCGGGTCTTCGTTGTGAAGAGACATCGCCCTGCGTTTCCTCCTCCTCCTCCTCGTCCTCCTCCTCTTCCTCCCTCCTCCTCCTCCTCTTCCTCCTCCTCCTCCTCTTCCTCTTCCTCCTCCTCCTCCTCCAATCCCTGCCTCTGCCCTCGGCGCCAGTAAACCATTTCGACACCCCTGACACGTTTCTCGGCCACATGGAGCTCCACCGGAGGCCCCAGTGGCAGCGCCCGCATGTGGTTCCACCCGCCATTTCGGTGCACTATTCACACGGTTCGTGGCCCCATAGGATGCTCCACCGAAGGCCGCAGGTGCAGCGCCCTCATGCGGTTGCACTTTCAATTTCAGCACACGAGCGTCCCATTGGCAGTGCCCCCATGCGGTTCCACCTTCAATTTCGGTTCACCCCTAAGACGTTTCGAGAGCCCCATAGGGGCCCCAGTGGCAGCGCCCGCATGCAGTTCCACCCTGCATGTCGGTTCACCCTGTACACGTTTCGTGGCCGCATAGGGAGGTCCACCGAAGGCCACAGTGGCAGCGCCCGCATGCGGTTCAACCCGCCATTTCGGTGCACTTCTCACACGTTTCGTGGCCTCATGGGGAGCTTCACTGAAGGCCCAGTGGCAGCGCCCGCATGCGGTTCCACGCTCCATGTCGGCGAACCCCTCACACGTTTCGGGAGCCCCACCGGAGGCCCCAGTGGCAGCGCCTGCATGCGTTTCTACCCCCACCTTGGCACACCCACCACACGTTTCGTGGCCGCATAGGATGCTCCACCGAAGGCCCCAGTGGCAACGCCCGCATGCGGTGCCAGCGCCCACCTCGGCACCCCCCCCACACGTTTCATGACCCCACAGGGAGCTCCACCGAAGGCCCCAGTGGCAGCGCCCGTATGCGGTTCCACCCCGATTTCGGCATACCCCTCGCGCGATTCGTGGCCCCATGAGGAGCTCCACCGAGTGCCCCCCCATTTGTCGTGCCGGCATGCGGTTCCACCCGCCATTTCGGCGCACCTTTTACACGTTTCGTGGCTCCATGAGGAGCTCCACCGAGTGCCCCATTTGTCGTGCCGGCATGCGGTTCCTCCCGCCACCGAAGGCCCGAGGTGCAGTGCCCGCATGCGGTTCCACCCTCCATTTCGGCACACCTCTCACACGCTTCGTGGCCCCATGGGGAGCTCCACCGAAGGCCCCAGTGGCAGCGCCCGCATGCGGTTCCACGCTCCATGTCGGTGTACCCATCACACGTTTCGTGGCCCTACAGGGAGCTCCACCGAAGGCCCAGTGGCAGCGCCCGTATGCGGTTCCACGCACGCTCTATGTCGGCGAACCCCTCACACGGTCCGGGAGCCCCACCGAAGGCCCCAGTGGCAGTGCCCGCATGTGGTTCCACTTTCCATGTCGGCGACCACCTCACACGTTTCGTGGCCCCATCGGGCTACGCCATAGGGAGCTCCACCGAAGGCCCAAGTGGCAGCGCCCGCATCCGGTCCCACCCGCCATTCCGGCACACCTCTCACACTTTTCGTGGCCCCATGAGGAGCTCCACCGCAGGCCCCAATGTCCCCGGTTGCTGGCCCCCCTCCTCCATTCCATGTTCCCCGCGATGCTCGAAGGCCACAGTGGCAGCGCTCGCATGGTGGCACCGCCACATATCGGCACACCCTTCACGCGCTTCGTGGCCCCGTACGCAGATCCACCGAAGACGGTAGTCACAACGACGGTACTCACAGCTGCATATGGTTGTGCTTTAAACTTGGGAGGTTAATTGTGAGGTTGTGCTTTCAATCTCCTACTCTAGGAGAGCTCGCAGTCCAGGACGAAAGACTCGCTGCCAGACGCGTTCCCGGCGGAGGAGTTCCAGGACACGCCAGACCCATACGGGGACAGCCAAGCGAGTCTTATCCAGACGACGGCACAGCTGGGTCTTGCCACAGAGCCTGCTGTTGCGGACAACCAGCACCAGGCGCACACGACTGCCCAACAGCAGGTCCTCGGCACGGGCGCCTGGCAGACGCAGGTGCTTTGCTTCCTGCAGCTGCAGCAGCCGCAGCAGCCGCAGCAGCAGGCGTGGCAGCCTTCCTGTGGCAGTGACATTGGCGGACACGTGGCTTCTGGCGCAGGAGACGTGACAGCCGCTGCTGGGGCGTGCGCCGACGCGTGGCGGAGCCAGCCCCGGCAGATACAGAGCGCCGCGAGGCAGCCGCCGCAGCAGGCGCTGAGCTCCAACGGTGGCCAGGACACAGAGTAGGGGTGAGCGATTAAGGGAGGGAGCGAGGGAGCGAGGAAGGGAGCGAGCAGAGCAGGCAGCGAGGAAGGGAGAAGGGAAGAGGGATGGGGAGGAGCGAGGAGGAATGAGGTGAGAGAGGCAGAGAGCGAGGCGGGAGGGGAGAGCAGTGTGGAGGGGAGGAGGGGGGAGAGGGCAGGACCAGCCCGGGCAGGAGGAGGAGGAGGAGGAGGAGGAGGAGGAGGAGGAGGAGGAGGAGGAGGAGGAGGAGGAGGAGGAGGAGGAGGGGGAGGAGGAGGAGGAGGAGGGGGAGGAGGAGGAGGAGGAGGAGGAGGAGGAGGAGGAGGAGGAGGAGGAGGAGGAGGAGGAGGAGGAGGAGGAGGAGGAGGAGAGAAGGAGGGAAAGGAGGGAAAGGAGGAGGAGGAGGAGGAGCAAAATGAGGAAAAGGAGGAAGAGGAGGAGGCTGCGGAAGGGAGAACAGTGAGGCGGGGGCGAGAAAAGGGGCTGGCACGGCCCAGGGCCGGTGCGGCGAGGGGCCCCCCACGCTCGGCGCGGCCTCGGGGCTCGCCGGCGCCGTGGCTGCGGCTGGCGCGAGGCAGACCCCCTCGCGGTGCGAACGAGCAGAGGGTGTTTGTTTACCCTCTGGGCCACGGCGCGCCCAGAGGTGCCTTGCATCCTTGCCCCCTCGGCCGGTGCTCGGCGGCTCTCGCCGGCCGGCCGCGCTCGAGAAGCGTTGACGTGGGATTCCAAGGCCCTGGCATCCTCACCGCTCACCGAGCACGTGCCACTGCTCGCAACGCGCTTATAAGTCGGGCGTGTTCCTCTCTACAGGGGGAATGTTCAGAAATAGTCAAACAATAGTCTGGGGACGATTTTCTGATTATTTTTGAATATGTTGGGTGTATTTTTGTTTTTGTTGTTTTTCGTCGAAAACCCCCCTGTAGGGGGACACGCCTGACTTAAGCCTACTCGCAAACGTCCGAAAAAACGCATGTGTGCTTCGATGTAGTCTATCGTAGATCCCCCTGCGGGGGATCCAGGCCATTTGCGAGTAGTCACTTTGCGAGTAGTGGAACGCGCTCGTCTAACCGCGCATCCTTCTGATACGGGTTGACCGTGTGTCCCTCCCCCCCCCCAACAGAGTTGCCCCGCCCCCCCCCCAAGTGCGTCCCCAGCTCTGCCGCGGTGCGTCCGGCGCCAGGATCTGCCACGGCGGGGGGCGTGGGTGTAGCATTTTTGCCCCCCTCGCGCCCTCCCCTCTTTCCCCCCCGTAACGCAAGCAGTGGCGAAGCGTCTTGGCTCGCCTATAGCCCTACTAAACAATGTTCTAAGAACCTGTTGCGGTTTCCACGAAATGTTCATAGAACATTTCTGGCGGAGTCTGTCTTGTTTTATCACATCGGGCTTATACAATAAGAACTTTTTTGGGTTCTAAGAGCATTTCGCGGTAGGACTATAGGAATGCCGGGACGGTCGGTCCCTGCTCAAGTAACGCCTGCTATCACCGCGAATTACACATGCTCTCATAGACACGGGCGTTTTCTTGGTGTTGCTATGTTCGGCCACGGGACTGTCAACACGCTGCTCAGAATGAGAATCTGGTCGCAGGGATGGTCCAGACTTCTGGGGGTCCACGTCGTGGCAGGATCGTGGTTGCGGGGGTCTCGGGAGGCCTCGTAGACTGATGCAGTCAACCCGCATAGTTAGGATGGGCAATTTTCCCAAGGGTACCCTTGCATCCTTGCCTCCTCGGTCCATCCTTAGCCACTTCCGTTGGCCGCACCCCGCTCGAAAAGCGTCGAAACGGCCTTGCAATACCCTTGCATCCCCATCGTGCGCCCTCATGATACGGGATGGCTGCAGTCTGAGACCCAGACCCGTACTCTTGTTTCCGAGCGGGGCGTTCCCGTCGCCCAGTCTCGGGGCCCGGGGCCTTCACGGATCGAGCAGCCCCGGGAGAGGCCCCAGAAGGAGGGTGTTTGTAGGGTTCCCGTCGTGATGTCTCCCAGCGGTGCCACAGCTTCTGCTTCGACGTCGGGCCTCGGTTGCCCCGGCTGGAGGGGTGCCCTACTTGGGGTTCTTCGTGCCCGGGGCTCTCCACATCGGAGTGTTCTCGATTTCGGATTCCACGGGTCCAGGCCTCCTGGATGGGGTCGGAGTAGATGGGGTCGGAGGATGGCGCCGCATAGCATAACATCACATCGAAACATCGTGTCTTCGAGACAGCATCACCAACACAGGGCGTTGCCTCCACCCGGGGAAGATGATCTCAGCTTTTAGTGGTGGTGGTCAGCTTTCGGCCACCTAGGACGCCCGCATAATTACTACCATCACCGAGGCCGGGATCATCTTCCCTCAGTGGAGGCACACCGCCGATAGTATTGGTGATCGTATCGACCTCTAGGCCTCCGAGATCTGGGATAGCCCCAAAGTCCGGAGCGGGAGGGGGGCGATGCTCGGCAGGCGCCGCAGCAGGCGTGGCAGCCTCCCTGCAGCAGTGGCGGTGGCGGACACGCGGCAGCCGGCGCCGCAGGCGCGGCAGCCGCTGCTGGGGCCCGGCAGCAGGTCCCCAGCACGGGCGCTTGGCAGACGCAGGTGCCTTGCTTCCTGCAGCTGCAGCAGTCGCAGCAGCAGGCGTGGCAGTCTTCCTGCGACAGTGGCATTGGCGGACACGTGGCAGCTGGCGCAGGAGACGTGTTAGCCGCTGCTGGGGCGTGCGCCGACGCGTGGCAGAGTCAGCCCTGGCAGTCGCAGAGCGCCGCGAGGCAGCCGCCGCGGGAGGCGCTGGGCTCCAAAAGTGGCCAGGATCCGGAGCAGGGACTGGGGGAGGAGCGAGGCGGGAGGGAAGGCGCGAGGGAGGAGCGAGAAGGGAGCGAGGGGAGCAGGGAGCAGGGAAGAGGGAGGGGAGGAGCGAGGAGGCAGCGAGGGAAGGGAAGTCGCAGGGCGCCGCGTGGCAGCCGCCGCGGCAGGCGCCGTGTCCCAGCGGCGGCCAGGCCGCCGCGCGCGCGCAGGCGCAGCCCGCCGCGAGCCTGCAGGCGGCCGCCGCTGGCGGGCGCGGGCGGCCCCGGCCAGCGCGGGCGCGGGATGAGGACCTGCAGGCCTCGAGCAGTGCCAAGGAGGGGTCGCCGCCAGAGGGGAAGGGGGTCACCCGCCCCTTTTGGAGGTCGAGGGTCGAAGGGAGCAGGGAGGGCGCGTGCCCGAGGGGTGGTGGTTGGGCGTTCGTGGCAGCCCGTTAGGGGTTCCTGGAGGCCTCTGGGCTCTGGGCGGTCCCGGGGGGGGGGGAGGGGGGGCATCTCCTCGAGGAGTCGGCCGCTCCCCCGGCGGGGTCCACTCCGATCCGATCGAGCCGATTCGCTTCCTGCTGGGAACCGAGGGTCGGGGAGAGCACGGAGGACCGATGCCCGATCGATGCGACTCGATTCCTGCTGGAAATCCAGGGTCGAGGAGAAGAGGCAGGAACGATGCTCGATGGAGGTTGTGGGGTGCTTGTGGCCAGTCCCTTGGGAGGGTCCTTGGGGGTCTCTGGGCTCTCGGGGTTCGGGGGGGCCCGCTCCCTCGAGGAGGTGGCGAGCCCGCTACAGTCAAGACGCTGGAAGTAGGACTGCCTCGCGCCCAGGGTCAAAGTCGGGCCTGTCCCTCTACAGGAAGAATATTCAAAAATAGTCAAAAAATAAGCATGGGACGATTTTTTGTACATCCTTTGACCATTTGGGAGTATTTTTTGACTATTTTTTATTTGTCGTCCAAAATCCCCCCGGTAGGGGGACATGCCCGACCTAAGCCCAGGGAGGGCTCTGGTTTTCAGGCCATTCCTTGTGTATAGGTCGGGAAGCCTATCCTTGGCCGAGGCTCGCCGCGACCAGAAAAGCTCCTTCGTTCCGTTTGCTGCGTTCACCCTGGCAGCACGATGATTCCAGTGGTGACCTCTCCCCCCTTTTTTCGATGCGTGGGTCCCCGGAGGTCTGGGCCACTCCCCTGGGGCCGGTTCTTCCTTCAGAGCGTTTTCGTTGACGGTCCGGGGGCCCGTTGAGGGCCACTGCGGTCCGAAGATGCAGTCGAGCATCTGATTCCTCCTCCCAGCTTGGTATCGCTCGGACGTGTGCACTTTTTCTCGGCGGAGATTATCAAGGAGCATCCTGGATCATCCCGCGGGGAAAAATCACGCACGACACGGGAACAAAAACACAGGGAATGGATGTCCGAGCGATGGCCAGCCAGGACCAGTGTTTCTAAACCAACTTGCCTGAAACCTGGCCTGGCTTCTCGAGCACGTTCGCCCCCTCCAGCGTCAGCAACAGAACTTGCCCCAGGTTTGTTTGGAACAGCTTCGGAAGGCTGGTCCAGCTTTCTGAAGTCATGCTTTCTTGGTTCGATGTTCGGCTGCAGTCAGACATGGCTGCTCCCTGAGGTCCGACGCTTCCAGGAAGTTGCAATGCCGTGAGGCGCGCGATCCGAGCGATGCCGGCGGGCCGGCGGGCGGTGTGCGGCGTGCCCCCCCAGGAGGGGGCGGTGCGCGGCAGCGTCCGAGAGCCATGCGTCAGGCTTTTTTCGTTGCTTGATCGCAGATCCTCCCTCCTCCTCCTCCTCCTCCTCCTCCTCCTCCTCCTCCTCCTCCTCCTCCTCTCCTCCTCCTCCTCCTCCTCCTCCTCTCACCACCCACCAAACCACCCCAACCCACCCCGAAGGCCCAGGTTTACCCTCGATTTCTCAGTGCACTTTCTTTCTCAGCCGTATGTCGACCCGTGAGGGCCCTGGGGCCCGACACCCGGCGCAGACGCCCGCAAGGGGGCCGAAAGCTGCATCGCCCGGATCTCAGTGCTCAATCCTTTTTTGGGCGTTGCGTAATGGAGGGGTCATAAATGGGGGGTTGGCGAGGGTGGTCCGAAAAGGTACCCAAACGGTACCTAAACGAGCCCCCTGGGGGTCCGGAGGGGCCCGAAAGGGGCACGAAAGGGGACCGTTTCTGACCCCCCCATTTATGACCCCCCCATGAAGCCACGCCCAACTTTTTCTCGGCGGCGAGCGGGGGCGGGTAAATGAGAAGGGCGTCTTCGCACGCAGGGCGGAAGCCTCAGCACTTCGAGGTTCGAGCTCCGAAGTTCTAGGTTTTCGGGCGTTTTCGTGGTCTCTGCGCAGTGTGCCGCCCTCGGGATGCGTTCCAACGGCTGCGCCTCGCCGAGAGCGTTCCGGGGATGCCCGGATCCTCCTGAACGGCCGCCGGAGACCCGAGTTATGACCTAAAAACTGAATTCATCGGCGAGCGAGGAGGGGAAATGAGAAGGAGAAGGCCTTCTCAGAAGGCGGCGGGACTTCTCGGAAGCCCTCGTTCCTTCTGAGAAATCGGTTCTTGGTCTTCGGGGAAGGCTTAGCAAACTCCTCAGGAGCCCCGGGGACATCCGAACCTTCTGAGAAGGCCTGCTCCTTCCCACGCCCCCCCCCCCCGCTCGCCGCCGATTTTTCGGAGTCCTGGTTTTAAGTCGGGCCTGTCCCTTTACAGGGGGGAAATTCCAAAATAGCAATAAATAGTCTGGGGACGATCTTTGAGTATTTTTGCGCATCTGTGGCATATTTTTTGTCAATTTTTGATGTTTCGGCCAAGATCCCCCTGTAGGGGGACAGGCCCGACCTATTCCTGGATCTCAGCGTCGGCGTTGCCTGCAGGCCGCCGGCGACCGCATCGCGAGCGCGTTCGCCGCACCGCCGGCGGCGGCCGCGGCGGCCGCCGCTCGCGGGCGGAGCCCGCGCGGCCTCGGCGGGGTGCGCCGGGTGCCGCAGGGCGTGGCCACGCCGCAGAAGCCGGGGCAGCGCTGGGGGGTCCGCGCGGCGCGGCGGCACGGCCTGCCTTCGACTGGGCGTAAGAGTGACCTTTCGCCGGAGTGGCCTCTGGTGCGGGCACAGGCGGGTCCCCAGATGGTCGAAAACGAAGCAGCAGCAGCAGCTGCTTGCGCGCCCAGGTTTGGTCCCTTCCGCGGCCCCCCAAGAGTAGCGCACCATAAAGGTCACTTTTGAACAGGGACGCTCTTGCGTGTAGCCGATTCCTGAGCTGCTCCTCGGAAGCTGGAGCATGTACACTGCAGTGGAGGCCCATGCCAAGAGACTCCCTGCCTGCCTCCAGGGTGCCCTGGGTTTCTTGGGCTTCGGTGGATTTACTATGGCAAGCGTGGCGTCCCCAGCAACAGTCGATAGACGTCCTGGGGTCTCAGGGTTGGGTTTCTCGTGACAGGTTTCTTGTGGTCGGGCCCCTACTGTATACATAATCAGTGGTGGCCTGTTTCTCAATCCCAGGCCTTTATTAGGGGCCGGGGACGACGTCGGGGTGGTGTGGGGTATACTTCGGAACACGCGTGCATCAGGATCCCGTGTGCAGTATACACCAGGATGCGCGGTCCTGTATGCAAGAATCAGTGCAGGGCCGGAACAAACGTCGGTGTATCGAGTTCGCTTCCCTAGATCCCCATAAACGCGGGCGCTGCCTTGCGGGTGGCCCCAGGGCTCTCTCGGGGGGCCTCCGGAGCTGGGGCCCCAGAGAGCACTCATCGCCCCCGCCCTCTGCGTCGTCTCGGGGTGGCCTTGCCGAAGGCCCGGGAGCCGGTGCCCGCTGGGGCCTCGCGCGTGGCGCAGCGGGGGGGCGATTTGCAGGGGGGGGGCGAAGAGAGGGTGCACCTCTCGCGCCCTCCAGGAGCCCTTGTCAGGAGCCCCCGGACAGCCCTGGTCGGCTGCGCGTGCCTTCCGATCTTGGCGTTGCAGTGTTTTCACGGCGGGCGCCTTCGCCCCACCCTCGAGTCGGCTTGAAAAGTGACGCGAGAAACTGAGGTCCAGGGGTTCCGAGGCTCCGGTGATTTTCTGTGATGGCGGATCTTTCCTGGCAGCGTGAGAGTGCCAGGAGGGGAACAAAACACACAGACACAAGTAATCGTCGATCCCCAAGAACATCTGGGAAGTGGGGGGGAAGACAAAACCCAGAGAATACGGGAAAATATAGGGGGATCCTGTTGTCTGTGTGTGTTATGTTGCGTGTCCCGGGGCCCCTTTGCAGAGCGGCCCTTCGCTGGAGTGGCCTTTGTGGTGCGTGGCTGTCGGGGGGCGCCGTGTGGCCGAGCCCGAGCACGCAGGCCGCTGCTGTCGCGCCCACCGCGTGCAGCGGCCAGGAAACGGCGCACCAGGGGCCACTCTTGACGAGGGGCTTTCTTACGTTCAAGTCGGGCCTGTCCCTGTTACAGGGGGAAGATTCAAAAATAATGAAAAAATGCGCAGGGGACGATTTTTTCAAGTTTTCCTTGGCCATTTTGGAGTACGTTTGGGGTATTTTTTTGTTTTTCGTCCGAAGTCCCCCTGTGGGGGGACAGGCCCGACTTAATCTTACGTGAGGCCGACCTGAGTCCTCAATTCAGACCATCAGGAGGGGAAACAACACACAGACACAATTCATCGTCGATTGCCCCGAAAATCTTGGAAAATGTGGGAAGTGGGGGGGGAAGACAGACGCCCAGAAAATACGGGAAAAGATTGGGGATCCTGTTACCTGTGTGCATATCTGTGTGTCCCAGGGACCCTTCAAAACTGCAGCAAGGGCCACTCTTGACGACTGTCTTTCTTACGTGAGGCCGACCTGAGATCCTCAATTCTGACCCTCGAAAAATCCCCCCCGAGGAGACCAGACGTAGCGTTGGAGGCCTCCCAGAGGGCCCCCCATACAGACCACCACAGGCCTCCCAAAAGGATCTGGAAGGCCCCCGAGAGAGGCCCGCCAAAGGCCCCAGAGAGGTTCCAGCATGCGTCCGCTGCTCAGCCTCCTTCAAGCGGCGCTGCTGCGCTGGCACAGCAGCGGGGCCTCCCGCGGGCGGCTGCGCACAATGATCCCTGGCGTGGTTGCGAGGCGCCGGCGGAGCGCCTCAGAACCCGCAGGCTTTGTCGCAGTGTGTCGAGCGAGACGGCGAGGGACGGACACGGCTGGGAGCTTTTGGCTCGGGCGCGTCGCTCCGCCGGCGGGGGCCCACCGCGCTTCGGCGCGACGCGCGGTCCTCATGCCCGTCCCCGAGCGGCAACGTCCCGTGCTTTGCCCAGCCTCCCGTTCCGCGGAGCGCAGTGAGGCGCTCTCCGCTCGCAGGGCATCGCGTGCCGCTGGGGCCGCCGCCATGATCGGAGGGCACCAACTATACACCAACACCGATCCTGGCCCAGGATCACCCTGGGCCCAAGATCGGTGTATATGCCTTCTTGCGCAAGGCAGGAGGGCGTATACACCGATCCTGGGCCCAGGGTGATCCTGGCCAGGATCGGTGTTGGTGTATAGTTGGTGCCTTCCTACATGACACTCTAAGCAGAAGTTGCCGACTGTAGCCCTCAGATCCCGGCGTCTCAATTTTTTGGAGCCGGGCGTTTTTCCCAGGTTCGGGCCTGGCGGTCATCATAGATCGATCCGGTTCGAAACGTGCAGCAGAGAAATGTGGGTCTAGGGTTCTGGTCGTTTTTTGGCGATGTTGCCATTTCTTCGCAGCGTCGTATCTCAGGGGGATGGGCTCAGGCCGGGGGGGAGTTGTGGGGTGGCTTCCATCAGCTGCACCTCGTTGAGAGCGTTCCTGGGGTGCCAGCATCGTCCCGAACGGCCGCTTGGGAGCCAGGTTATGGCCGGAATGCCAGGATCCAACGTCAGGGGGGATGGGCTCAGGGGTGGTTGTGCATCGACTTCCGATCGTCGCCCATTTATCGCCGACGATGGGGGCTCGGTAGAGCCCATCCCGCCCAGGGACGTTCGGCTTCGCTGTCGGGGGCCTATCGCCGGTCTATCGGCGATGTATCTCGAAGAAGAAATAACTGCATAGACATATATTTTCGGAGCTCCGCGCGGAGTTCTTTGGATCTGCGCTGGGGCCCCTGGCAGCGCCTCTGACGCCGCCCCGTGGCGCGTTCCGCGCGCCAGGGAGTGGGGCCCAGCGCCGATCCAAGAAATCCGCGCGGAGCTCCGAAAGTTTATGTTTATGCAGTGCTTTCCTCGTTTCGTATCGCTGATTCCAGCTTGATGTTCCCACCCCTGAGCTGGTCCCCACCGTCGCGATTTTTCCTGACGCGAGGGGTCTGGGATGCAGGCTCGCGGCTCGATATCCCTCCCCCCTGAGCTGGCCCCTAAGATCCGATGTTGCGAAACAATTTGCAACATCGGGAAAAATCCCGACGGGAAACATCCCGACCATAGCCCTAGACCCTGGCTTTTATGCGATTTTGTTCGAGCCGGATCGATCTGTGATGGTCCCGGGGCCCGAAGCCCAGCGAAAGTGCCCTCTTTGAAAAAGTTGCAACGCCCAGATCAGGGTATCGCCGATTCCAGCTCGATGCTTCCTCCCACTGAGCTGGTCCCCATCCTAAGAGATAGTTATTCTTCAGACTGTGGCAAGTTTACTTGCATGGAGGGGGAGGGGGAGGCGCGTGGCGAGGTCCAAAAGGAAATCTGGACTCCACGCAGGTCGGGACGCACTTGCACGCCTTTTCGGCCCAGCGCTGTTTGAAAAGGCGGCCGAGAGGGGGGGGGAAAGGGGGGTGAAGGGCCTTGCAAGCAAGCTCGCACGTCGCCCCTCGCAGAAGCGCCGCTTCCAGCTCGATGCTTCCCCCCACTGAGCTGCCCCCCCCGCCCCCTGGCGCTGCCCCTCGCAGAAGCGCCGCTTCCAGCTCGACGCCCCCCCCCCCCCCCCCCCCCCCTGAGCTTCCCCCCCCCGCCCCCGGGCGCTGCCACTCACAGGAGCGCCGCTCCCAGCTCGCTGCTCCCCCCACTGAGCTGCCCCCGCCACCCCCTAGCGTTGTGGAGGACGATCCATGGAGAGGAAGCATGTGGCCAACTAATTGCCAGATGTCTAGAACATGTGTTTAAACCGTGTTCAACATGTAAAAGACATGTTTAAAACATGTTCAGGACAGGTTCCCAGCATAAAAAACAAAACATCTTTAATTCGATGATAGGACTGCTAGGGTGTCCACTGTCGTGGTATCCACAACCCTAGCCATTTCTGGGTATTTTCCCTACCTGGGTTCTGCCTAGAAGGGTTCTTACCCTGTGAGCTTAAAGGGGCCGGGCAGTGCAAATCGCCTCGGGCGGTTCCCCCAGGATCCGCCCCGCGGTTCCCCCAGTTGCGTCCCCTTAGCTTAGCGTTGCTTATCTCATCTTAGCTTAGCTTATTTCATATTAGCTTAGCTTAACTTCATTTTTGCTCAGGTTTATCTTAGCTTAGCTTACCTTCATCTTAGCTTCGCTGAGCTTTAGCACAGCAGAGCACAGCAGAGCACAGCATGGCATAGCATAGCGTAGCATAGCATAACGCAGCACAGCATATCATAGCATAGCCAAGCATATCATAGCATAGCGCAGCATATCATAGCATATCATAGCGCAGCACAACACAGCACAGCATAGCACAGCGCAGCATAGCATAACATAGCATAGCATAGCATATCATAGCATGGCATAGCATAGCATAGCAGCAAAGCAAAGGCAAAGCAACAGCAGCGTCAGCAAAGCAAAGCACAAGCAACGCAAAGCAAAGCAACGCAACAGCAAACGCAAAGCAAAGGAAATGCAGATGGAAGCAACAGCAAAAGCAAAGCAACAGCATGGGACACAGCAACCAAAGCAACCAGCTTTGCAAAGCAGTTTTGCCTAGGCAAGCTGGCAAAGCAAAACCAATGCAAAGCAAAGCATGGGTGTAATTCCATACCTAGGCTCTGTCTAGAGGGTTAGCTTAGCTTAGCTTAGCTTAGCTTAGCATATCATATCATAGCATATCATAGCGCATCTTAGCATTGTATAGCTTAGCATAGCATAGCCCAGCATAGCACAGCGCAGCATGACATAACATAACTTATCATAGCATAGCATCATAGCCCAGCATATCATATCATAGCATAGCGCAGCATAGCATAGCATAGCATAGCATATCATATCATAGCATAGCATAGCATATCATAGCATAGCATAGCACATCACAGCACAGCATAGCATAGCATAGCGCAGCATAGCATGGCATTGCATAGCATAGCATAGCAACTAATGCTGCTTTCCTAGGGGCTCCAACTTCTAGGTAGGGTCGCACTGGGGTAACTGTATTTTTCGTCGAAAATCCCCCTGTATGGGGGACACGCCCGACCTAACCCTAGCGCTGCCCCTCACGGAAGCGCCGCGGGGGCGGGCCGCTGGACGACCCCGGCGCCGCCAAGCTGCCCCGCGGCGGCGCCGCGGGCGGCCCCGCCGCGGCGGCCTCGTGCGCGGCCTCGTGCGCGGCCGCGGCCGCTCGGGAGAGCGCGGGGCTCGAAGAGCCACAGAACGGCACAAATCAGGGGGGGGGAAAAACATACAGGCACAATGAATCGTCGATTCCCTAGGAAAAGATGGGAAAGATGGGCAGTGGGGGAGAAGACGAAAACCCAGAAGATACTGGAAAATATAGGGAATCCTCTTATTTGTGTGTCTTTATTTGTGTGTCCCAGGGCCCCTTCAATAAGAACTGGTTGTTTTGAGTAAGTTACCGAGCTCGTTCCACTACTCGCAAAGGGCCCACTCGCAATGGTTAAAAAACCAGTTGTTTGCCTTGGTGTAAGACATCATCGAGAGCCCCCCGCGGCAGATCGAGGCCATCTGCGAGTAGCTACTTGGCGAGAAGTGGAACTCGTTTCTAGTAAGGGTCTGGCGATGCCCCGGGGTATTGGGCACGCCCCCCCCCCCTCCCCTGATCATTGGACGCTGGAATTTTCCAGTCGCGTTTTGCTTCAAGTTTCTGTATCGGTCGCGACTGGTCGGTCGCGATCGGAGGCGACTGGTTGCGACCGATTCCAGGATCGGTCGCGATCCGTCGCGACCGATTTGGAGCGCCGATCGGTCGGTGCCCATCGCGACCAAACCAATTCGGTGTCCAATGATCTCGGTCCCCCCCCCCGGACAACCTGACCCTGTCGGTTGCGAAGGTCCGAGGGGGGTACGCAGCACTGGTGTGCACTGGCATATGTGGGGCTACCCAAAGCGACAAGGTCAGGCTATTGGCTGGCCCCTCCCCCCTCCCCCCAGAACGGAGAAGCTACGTTAACGGTCGGCGACGGAGAACAGCTGTACCTCATTTCTCGGAGCTCCGCGCGGAGTTCTTGGATCTGCGCCGGAGCAGCCCCCTGGCAGCGCGTTCGGCGGCGCCCCCGACGCGCTCCGCGCGGCAGGGATGGGGGCTCAGCGCCGATTCAAGAAATCCGCACGGAAAGGAGGAGGAGGAGGAGGAGGAGGCGGAGGAGGAGGAGGAGGAGGAGGAGGAGGAGGAGGCACAACCGCCCTGGGTACGAGCCAGGAGGAGGAGGAGGAGGAGGAGGAGGAGGAGGAGGAGGAGGAGGAGGAGGAGGAGGAGACACTGAAGGTTTATGTTTATGCAGTCTTGCCTTCTTCTGGCTCTGGAGGACGCGGGGGCCGACGTTGTGGTCGTCGTGGTCGTCGAGGACATCTCTGCGCGCTGTCGTTGTGGTCGTCGTGGTCGTCGTCGTTTCCCTATCCTGAGAAGTCGTTGTTGTGCTCTGTGAGTTCTTGCTGCTCCTCAGGTCCCAGATGATTTTGTTCCCAACCCTCCTTGGTTGGGTATTCGTTTTGAATAGAGCAGGGTGGTCGCGTCCTTCCTCCTCCCGCCTCCCGCCTCTTTCCTGCCTCTTTCTGTCTTGCCTGCGGGGGGCTGCGATCTGTGAAACTGTCGCCACTTTCGAGGCCTGCTGGGGGGCCCAGCACAGTGAGGGCGACGCGCGGACCCAAATTAGACCTCGCCATTCCTGGGGGGCTGCGATCTGTGAAACTGTCGCCACTTTCGAGGCCTGCTGGGGGGCTCAGCATAGAGGGTAATCGCGGCAGATTCAAATTAGACCTCGCCATCCCTGGGGGGGGGGGGGCTGCGATCTGTGAAACTGTCGCCACTTTCGAGGCCTGCTGGGGGGTCCAGCATAGAGGGTAATCGCGGCAGATCCAAATTAGACCTCGCCCTCCCTGGGGGGCTGCGATCTGTGAAACTGTCGCCACTTTCGAGGCCTGCTGGGGGGTCCAGCATAGAGGGTAATCGCGGCAGATTCAAATTAGACCTCGCCATCCCTGGGGGGCTGCGATCTGCGAAACTGTCGCCATTTTCGAGGCCTGCTGGGGGGCCCAGCACAGTGAGGGCCACGCGCGGATTCAAATTAGACCTCGCCATCCCTGGGGGGCTGCGATCTGCGAAACTGTCGCCATTTTCGAGGCCTGCTGGGGGGCCCAGCACAGTGAGGGCCACGCGCGGATTCAAATTAGACCTCGCCATCCCTGGGGGGCTGCGATCTGCGAAACTGTCGCCATTTTCGAGGCCGGCTGCTGGGGGCCCAGCACAGTGAGGGCCACGCGCGGATTCAAATTAGACCTCGCCATCCCTGGGGGGCTGCGATCTGCGAAACTGTCGCCATTTTCGAGGCCTGCTGGGGGGCCCAGCACAGTGAGGGCCACGCGCGGATTCAAATTAGACCTCGCCATCCCTGGGGGGCTGCGATCTGCGAAACTGTCGCCATTTTCGAGGCCTGCTGGGGGGCCCAGCACAGTGAGGGCCACGCGCGGATTCAAATTAGACCTCGCCATCCCTGGGGGGCTGCGATCTGCGAAACTGTCGCCATTTTCGAGGCCTGCTGGGGGGCCCAGCACAGTGAGGGCCACGCGCGGATTCAAATTAGACCTCGCCATCCCTGGGGGGCTGCGATCTGCGAAACTGTCGCCATTTTCGAGGCCTGCTGGGGGGCCCAGCACAGTGAGGGCCACGCGCGGATTCAAATTAGACCTCGCCATCCCTGGGGGGCTGCGATCTGCGAAACTGCCGCCATTTTCGAGGCCTGCTGGGGGGCCCAGCACAGTGAGGGCCACGGGCAGATTCAAATGAGACCTCGCCATCCCTGCGGGGCTGCGATCTGTGAACCTGTCGCCACTTTCGAGGCCTGCTGTGATCCCCGTTTTCGAAGTGGCTAGGAGTGCTCAGGAATTGTAAATCATCAGCTTTATCAAGCCCTTTTCCTGTAGCCAGTGTCCTGCGAGTCTCCCGAATTCCGTCTGCAGACATATGTAACCCTCGCTCCGTCATCGCCCCCTTATAAAGTATCCTAAACTATTTGCGCCCCGCTTTTGCGCAGGGGTTGGGTACGTCGCCAGGGTAATTCCCAACCCTCCTTGGTTGGGTATTCGTTTTGAATAGAGCAGTGTGGTCGCGTCCTTCCTCCTCCCGCCTCCCGCCTCTTTCCTGCCTCTTTCTGTCTTGCCTGCGGGGGGCTGCGATCTGTGAAACTGTCGCCACTTTCGAGGCCTGCTGGGGGGCCCAGCACAGTGAGGGCGACGCGCGGACCCAAATTAGACCTCGCCATTCCTGGGGGGCTGCGATCTGTGAAACTGTCGCCACTTTCGAGGCCTGCTGGGGGGCTCAGCATAGAGGGTAATCGCGGCAGATCCAAATTAGACCTCGCCATCCCTGGGGGGGGAGGGGGGGCTGCGATCTGTGAAACTGTCGCCACTTTCGAGGCCTGCTGGGGGGTCCAGCATAGAGGGTAATCGCGGCAGATCCAAATTAGACCTCGCCCTCCCTGGGGGGCTGCGATCTGTGAAACTGTCGCCACTTTCGAGGCCTGCTGGGGGGCCCAGCACAGTGAGGGCCACGCGCGGATTCAAATTAGACCTCGCCATCCCTGGGGGGCTGCGATCTGCGAAACTGTCGCCATTTTCGAGGCCTGCTGGGGGGCCCAGCACAGTGAGGGCCACGCGCGGATTCAAATTAGACCTCGCCATCCCTGGGGGGCTGCGATCTGCGAAACTGTCGCCATTTTCGAGGCCTGCTGGGGGGCCCAGCACAGTGAGGGCCACGCGCGGATTCAAATTAGACCTCGCCATCCCTGGGGGGCTGCGATCTGCGAAACTGTCGCCATTTTCGAGGCCTGCTGGGGGGCCCAGCACAGTGAGGGCCACGCGCGGATTCAAATTAGACCTCGCCATCCCTGGGGGGCTGCGATCTGCGAAACTGTCGCCATTTTCGAGGCCTGCTGGGGGGCCCAGCACAGTGAGGGCCACGCGCGGATTCAAATTAGACCTCGCCATCCCTGGGGGGCTGCGATCTGCGAAACTGTCGCCATTTTCGAGGCCTGCTGGGGGGCCCAGCACAGTGAGGGCCACGCGCAGATTCAAATTAAATTCGCCATCCCTGGGGGGCTGCGATCTGCGAAACTGTCGCCATTTTCGAGGCCTGCTGGGGGGCCCAGCACAGTGAGGGCCACGCGCGGATTCAAATTAGACCTCGCCATCCCTGGGGGGCTGCGATCTGCGAAACTGCCGCCATTTTCGAGGCCTGCTGGGGGGCCCAGCACAGTGAGGGCCACGGGCAGATTCAAATGAGACCTCGCCATCCCTGCGGGGCTGCGATCTGTGAACCTGTCGCCACTTTCGAGGCCTGCTGTGATCCCCGTTTTCGAAGTGGCTAGGAGTGCTCAGGAATTGTAAATCATCAGCTTTATCAAGCCCTTTTCCTGTAGCCAGTGTCCTGCGAGTCTCCCGAATTCCGTCTGCAGACATATGTAACCCTCGCTCCGTCATCGCCCCCTTATAAAGTATTCTAAACTATTTGCGCCCCGCTTTTGCGCAGGGGTTGGGTATGTCGCCAGGGTTATTGTTTTTGAAACACACAATATGGTGGTTGGTCGTCGATGTCGGTTTCTTGGGCCTGATCTTGGGCCCTGGTGCCATCGAACATGGATCCAGTATGCAAAACTATGCCAGGGAAGGGGTTGGGACATCTGGGGCCGCGCACTGAAAAACAGACATCGTCGCTTGTCTGGGTTACGGATAGGGGAGGAACGACATCTGTTGCGTGCAGATGATTTCGACGCCAAGCCCTGGGCGGTCTCCTCAATAACAAGCTGCGCGAGCCGATTCGCTCATCCCCCCCTTCCCTGCGCCGTCTCGTCCGATCGGAGGACGCGGAGTCGGAGAACACGATCGACCAGAAGCGGGCGCACAGGCATAATGGCCTGCACGCCATTATGCACGGCGAGGGGAGGGCGGACTACCAGGAGGCAATGAGGCTGGTCGAGGAGTCTTTCTTTTCCTTGATACTATATTTATATATGTATATTCACATACATAAACACACATATATATCTATATGTATGCGCACATATGTATGGTGGCGATAGCGCCCGTTACCCGAGGGGGGGCCCATTCTTGACGTCACGATTGGCGCCAGCGTCGTCTGGAAATGGCTGTAGGTCCATGGACGACGAGGGCTACGACGGCAGTCGCGACGACGACGACGACGACGATCACGACGGCCGACGTCGTCCGAAGGCGTCGTAGGCCCCCAGAGGGCCCCGGAGGTCTCCTTAGAGGCCGTCGGAGGTGCTCAGAGGCCGGCGGACTCCACAGCGCAGCGCCCTGCGCGACCACCCGACGGCGCCGGCGCGGATCGTGGCGTTACCAGGGGCGGTTGGGGGTCTTTCGTCGCCCTCTGCAAATAGGGGGCGGCCAGATAGGGGGTGGTAACTAGGGGGTGTGGATCCCATGGCTGGGGGCTGGGATCGTGAGATCTCCCTGGCTTTAATGCCCCCCTCTTCATATGTCGATGCGGCCCCTGGTCCCCGCCTCTCGTCTGGGCAGATGCCTCGGGCCATGATTCGCGAAGCCCCTTCTTGAATGCCCCCTTCTTGGACGCCCCCGAGTAAACGAGTGCCGCCATAGGTTCCCATGTTTCCCTGTATACGGTATGGTCCTCTTTTGCTAATGCTCCCGTTTTCTTGCTCAGCGTGTGGCGGCGGCGGCCACGGCGACGCGGTATGTCCTGCATGCGGATAGCGTGTCGCTCCGCCTCGTGGGGCGGGAGGCTGGGAACGGCTCGGGTGACGCTCGCGCTTGGGACTGGAGCGTGGACAGCGTGTCGCGCCGAAGCGTGGTAGGCCAGAGCTGGCGGAGCGACACGCTAAGTCAGCGCTCCTAGCCGTAACCGCCCCTCGCCGTTTCGCTCCACACGTTACACCCCTTTTTTTTCGGGCTCTGGGGCGCACCGCGGGCGCCTTTCCGCGAGTGGCACTCGGAGTCGTCATATCCAGCCGCCCGCGGCAAGCCTCGCGGCCGCGCCAGCGCAGCAACGCAGCCTGAAGGAGACTGAGCACCAGCCTCATGCTGGAGCTTCTCTGGGGCCTCTTGAGGGCCTCTCGGGGGCCTTCCGGGTCCTTTCGGGAGGCGTTTGGTGGGATTTACGGGGGGACCTCCGGGAGGCTGAGAGGAGTATTTCTCCGGGAGAAGGGTTGGCTCTTCAGCAAAAGGGTTCTTTCTCCAGATGGAAAGCTTCAGATCCCAAATACAAAACCCCAACACCCCAAACACCACACCCCGAGCACCAAATCCCAAGCACCAAGCCCCAACACCAACCTCCCAACACCAAACCCAAACACCAAACATCAAATCGCACACCCGAGACACCATACACCAAGCCCCAAACACCAAGCCCACACACAACAGACCCCAACCACCAACACCGACATTCCAAACCCCCCCCCCACACCCCAACACCAAACCCCATACACCAAACCCCAACAGGAGGACGAGCACGCGGGGGAGGAGAAGGCGGAGTGACAAGGCCGGGCAAAATACGAACGGGCCTCACTCGACAGTCGAACCGTAATTCTGGACATCTGCGCGAGTTGTAGGCGCATTGGGTGGTTACCCCTACGCAAGCTGTAGCTACGCCGCGGGACGCATGGAACACGAGTTATATTTATGTACGACTTTTTTTGTTAGCAAGCGTCTATTGTTAAACAACTACTGTTGCTGCTGCCGTTGCTACTACTACTACTGCTACTGCTGCTACTACTACTACTGCTGCTGCTGCTGCTACTACTACTACTACGGCGACGACGGCTATCGCTTCAACGACTAGGATTGCTACTACGACTACGGCTACGACTACTATTATTAGTACTGCTACTAGTACTGGAAGTAGTAGTTGTAGTAGTATTACTATTACGATGATGGCTACTACTACTACTGCTACTGCTACTGCTACTGCTACTGCTACTACTACTACTACTACTACTACTACTACTTCTACTTCTACTTCTACTACTACTACCACTATTATTTCGAATAGTACGGCTACTACGATTATTCCGGCTACTAGTATTTCCGCTGTTGTTGTTTCTACGACTATTACGATTGCAATTACCCTTACTATTATTACTACTACTACTATTGCCAGTACGTCTTCGATTCTTATTAGTAATACGACTACTACTAATAATACTACGGCTACTACCACCACTAATTCGTCTATTTCTACTACTACTACTACTACTATTATTACTACTACTACTACTACGACTACCATTCCTACTACGTCTACTACGACTACTACGATTACTGCTACTACTACTACTACTACTACTACTACTACTACGTCTATTATTTCTGTTACTACGTCTACTACGACCACTACTACTACTACTACTACTACTATTACTATTACTATTACTATTACTGTTACTACTACTACTACTACTACGACGAGGACGACTACTACTACTACTACTACTACTACTACTACTACTACTACTACTACTACTACTGCTACCATTATACTTCCCACTGCTACTACTCCTACTACTATCACAATTATTACTACTACTACTACTGCTACGACTACTACTACTACTATTACTACTACAACTACTACTACTGCTACTACTACTACTACTACTACCACTACTACTACTGCTACTACTGCTACGACTATGACTACGATTACGACGACGACGACTACTACTACTACGACTACTCTCATTATCATTACTACTACTACGGCTACTATTATTATTACTGCTGCTGCTACTTCTAGTACGACTACATCTAATACTATTACTTCTACGACTACTTCTTCTACTTCTACTGTCGTTTGCACTTTTTACCCATATCCGTAAGGGCTTCGCCCCCTGCCGCCGGCCCCCTCTCGCGGATTATTGGGTTTGCAAGAGCTACCTTGTGAGGCCTGGGCGCCGTCGTGAAGCAGCGTCGGCACTCCGAATGGGGGCACTGGAGATACGAGCATGCCAGAATCCATCAAACACCTAAGGACAATCGCCGATGTTGGCCTTTTGGGCCCTCTTGGGGGTGCTCTTCGAGCGCTCTTGGGGGTTTCTTGGGAGCCTCTTGGGCAGTCTTGGGACCATCCTTGGGCGCCTTTGGGCATTCATGGGCCGCCGTTTCGGAGGCCTCTTGTACATTGTTGCTTTTTGTAAACGATTGCGTTTTCGAAAGCGCAAGCGTTGCGTATTGTACTAGGTTGTGTGATTTCGGGGACGTGAAGAACTTGCAATTTACCAGGGATCGTGGCTTCGGTGAGGCAGACATTCAGCACTGCTACGCGAATATTGAGAAATCTTCACGGAATGTTGCCTCAGAGACGCGAGTATCGAGTAATCTGCAGTTTGGGCCTGTCTGGCGCTCTGGCCGCCATGTCGCCGCCGTCGCCGCCCCGTCGCCGCCTCGTGGCCGCCTCGTCGCCGCTCGTCATTTGGGCCTGCGCGCCGCTCTAGCCGCCATGTTCCCGCCGCCGCCGCCTCGTCGCCGGCTCGTCGTTTCGTTGTCGCTGGCTTCGCATTCCTTCGCATTGCTTTGCGTTGATTGGCATTGTTTGGCATTGCTGCGCGTTGCTTGGCATCGCGTTGCATTGCTTGGCATTGCTTAAGATTGCGTGCTACTTTCTTCGCATTCCATGCGTTTATTTGCATTGCTGTCTTTGCGTTGCTTTGCACGGGTTCGCATGAATCAGCATTGTATGCCCCACAGCTTGCAACACATATATCGTATTTTTTGGGTACAACAAGAATATCAGGATTTCTCCCCCTCAGACTTGACCGCCCTCCTTTCCGTATCGCAATTTACATTAGATTATGCCCCATCGTCCGTCCAGAATCTGAATTCATACCATCCCAGTCACGCTGGTAACGGTTCCTCCTGTCATCTTCTGCAAGAAGCACTATGCGCGAACATTCGTTCTCAATTATTTCAAGTCTGTAACACTTGTTGCCACAACGTGTGGCGAAATGCACACACACGCGCGCGTCGTCGCGCGCGCATGCCGGAATCCCTCAAAAACCGAAGGTCGCGTAAGGCTTTCGAAATCGAGTGCTCCGAAACCATACAAAAACAATTGGTTTTGTTTGCAACACGCATTCTTTATCAAAAAGTTGCGCTTGCGCTTCTGCGAGTTATGAGAAAACCAAAATGTTTCCCCACATTTCCATAACATGGTACTGAATGGGCCCCACGCGCGCATGTCGAAATCGTTCGGGCGCCTTTGCGCGCGTGCTGTCGCAAGAATCCCTTGCGCAAAATGTGACGAAGTGCGCGCGCGCCTCGTCGCGCGCGCTTGCCGAAATTCTTCAAGAACCTTCGGATTCGTAAGATTTCAAAATCGAGTTTCCCGAAAACATATAAACACATGGATTGCAACATTAGTGTTCAACAAAAACCTGCGTTCGCGCTCTTGCAAATACCCACGAAATAATTTCTGCCAAACGGGCCTTTCGCGCCGCATGTCGACATCATTCGATCGCCCCTGCGCGCGTGCTGGGGGGCACAATCCGTGTCAAATAACACTATGCGGGCCGTTCTCGCGCGTCGGCCGCGCGCAGGGCATGTCGAATTCCCTCCAGAACCTTCATCACCGACGCGAGGAAGCCGTCCTTGTCGCCGGCGGGATCAGCATCGGCGCTGTCACTGGCATTTCCGTCGCCGTTGCTATCATCGTCGCCAGCGTCGCTACTATCATCATCCTGCCTACGGTTGTGAACGTTGCCAAAATACCGCGCCCGCCCAAGTGGCCAACTCGCATTGAAGTGCCCGGTGGGAAGTGCCCAGGGGTCAGCGCCACCGCGGCCGCGGCGGTCGCGCCAGACTAGCTGGCCGCTGCGCGCGCGAGCATGCGCGGCCTAGCGCGGCCGCAGATATGCACCGGCCAACAATAAGCACTCATCGCAATCGCCGCATTCGTTTTGCAATGCGAGTTGCGGGTGGGTGGGTGGGAGGATCGCGCGAGCAGTGGATCTGACAATTGCGAGTTCCACAAGTGAGCTCTTCTTAAAAGACAATTAGCATCTATCTCTTTTCCTTGGGTTAACGGCACACGTTTCCGTATTGCAATTTACACATGATTCTGCCCCATCGTCCATTCTAAATCTGAATTCGTACCATCCCCGGCAGGTCGGATTTCGCGCCCCCCCCCCCCCCTCATCCTCTGCGAGAAATATTATGCGCGCGCATTCGTTGATCAAAAGTCATCAGTTTCCAAGAGCCCCTTTCTCATAACAAGTGACGGAAGTGCATACGCGCGCGTCGTCGTGCGCGCATGTCGAAGTCTTGCAACAACTGAGGGTTTCGTAAGGATTCGAAAGGAAGTGACCCGAAACCATATCCAAAACACATTGTTTCGCAATACGTGTCTTCTCCCAACAGATCTTGCGCCCACGCTCTTGTGGTTCGTTCGGGAAACCATAAGGTCCTCAACATGAACATATTGTGCTACCAAGCGGGCCTCTCGCGCGCATGTGTCGAAATTGCTCGGAAGCCCTTGCGCGCGTGCTGTCGCGAGAATCCGTTGCAAACACTGGGGCGAAGTGCGCGCGCGCGTCGTCGCGTGCACGTGCCAGAATCCTTCGAACACCCTCGGCTTCGCACGAGTTTCAAAAACGAGTGTTCCGGCACCATATAACAACACAGTGTTTTGCAATCGCAGTTTTCAAAAAAAATGCCTGCGCGCGCCATAGACATTGAACATTACCATCAAAGCATGCCATAATGGGCCTATCGCACCGCATGTCGAACTCATCCGAACGCCATTGCGCGCTTGTTGGGGGGGAGGACCGCGATCCGTGCCAAATATCACTGCGCGGGTCACTCGCGCGCGTCGGCCGCGCACACACGTCGAGTTCCTTCCAAAATCCCCCTCGCCGACGCGAGGACATCGTCATCGTTACAGGCGGACGCGCCTAGAAGTCAGCGGCGGAAACGAATAAAAACACATGGCTTCTCAACAACAAGTTTTAATACAAGCTTGCGCTCAAACTTTTGCGATTTCATATGAATGCCATCGGCTCTTCTCCATACTTCCTAACTTGCTACCAAAGGGGCCTCTCGCGCGCGTATGTCGAAATCGCTCGAACGCCCTTGCGCGCGTGTTGTCGCGACACTCCTTTGCAACATTCGGGGCGAAGTGCGCGCGCGCATGCCGGAATCCTTCAATTATCCTGGCGAAGGGCCCACTCATCTGCAAATGGGGGTTCCGCAGTATGAACACAGCTTTCGGTGGAGCTCCCGATGGGGCCACGAAACGTGTGAAGGGTGTGACGCAATGGGGCGGGGTCGCCATGCGATCCCTGCCAGTGGGGCCTTCAGTGGAGTTGCCTTTGGGGCCACGAACCGTGTGAGCAGTGTGTTGAAATGGGGCGGGGCCGCCATGCGAACCCTGCCGCTGGGGCCTTCGGTGGAGCTCCCTATGATGGGGCCAAGAACCGTGTGAGGGGTGTGCTGAAATGGGGCGGGGAACCGCATGCGAACTTTGCCAGTCGTCGGGCCTTTGGTGGAGCGCCCTATGGGGCCACGAACTCTGTGAGGGGTGCGCCGAAATGAGGGTGCAACTGCATGCGAACCCTGCCAGTGAGGCATTCGGTGGAGCTCCCTATGGGACCGCGAACCGTGTGAGGGGTGCGCCGGAATGAAGGAGGAACTGCATGCGAACCCTGCCAGTGGGGCCTTCGGTGAAGCTCCCTATGGGGCCGCGAACCGTTTGGGAGGGGCACCGAAATCCGGGCGGAACTGCATGCGAACCCTGCCGCTGTCGTCTCCTGTGGAGCTCCCCATGGGGCCAGAAACCGTGTGAGGGGTGCGCCGAAATCATGGTGCAACTGCATGCGAACCCTGCCTCTGGGGTCTTCGATGGAGCTCCCTATGAGGCCACGAACTGTGTGAGGGGCGCACCGGAATGAGGGTGGAACTGCGTGCGCACCCTGCCACTGAGGCATTCGGTGGAGCTCCCTATGAGGCCACGAACCGTGTGAGGGGCGTGCCGGAATGAAGGAGGAACTGCATGCGAACCCTGCCACTGGGGCCTTCGGTGGAGCCCCCTTATGGGGCCACGAACCGTGTGAGGGGTGCGCCGAGATGAGGGTGGAATTGCATGCTAACCCTGCCAGACAGGCCTTCGGTGGAGCTCCTTATTTGGACACGAACCGTGTGAGGTGCGCCGAGAAGAGGGTGGAACTCATGCGAACCCTGCCAGTGAGGCATTCGGTGGAGCTCCCTATTGGGCCACGAAGCGCTTTATTGGGGGTGCCGAAACGGAAACATGCGGAGGGCAGACGCAAGGAGGGGGAAGAGGGAGGAGGGGGAGGAGGAGGAGAGGAGGAGGAGAGGAGAAGAGAGGAGAGGAGAGTAAGGAGACGCGGGGCGCTGTCTCTTCAAAACGAGGACGCAACACCACAATATGGTTAGGAAGAACCTAAGAGATTACACCAGGATGTCACAATCGAGCGCCGCGAAAACTCGAACAAAAAACGCATGGCTTCTCAACACCAAGTTTTTAAACAGCTTGCGCTCAAACTTTGGCGATTTCATATGCGTGCCATCGGTTATTCGCATTTTTTCCTACTTTGCTAACACAGGGGCCTTTCGCGCGCGCATGTCGAAATCGCTCGAACGCCCTTGCGCGCGCGCGCGCTGTCGCAACAATCCCTTGCAACATTTGGGACGACGTGGGCACGCGCGCTTCGGCGCAAACACCTCATGTTTCGCAAGGATTTCAAACGCGAGTGCCCCGAACACATATAAAACCACATGGTTTTGTAACATCAGTTTTGAATAAAGCATGCCCTTCGTAGTCTTGCGGGTTTTTGAAAAGAGACAGCGCTTTCTGTTATACGTGTATAAATAGAACGTTTTCGTCAACTTCTGCCAAGCGGGCCTCTCGCGCCGCATGTCGAACTCATTCGAACGCCCTTGCGCGCGTGCTTGGGGGGGGAGGCACGATCCGTGTCACATAAACAACGCGGGCCACTCGCTCGCGTCGGCCACGCGCGCATGTCGAACTCCTGCAGAACCTTCAGCGCCGACGCGAGGACATCGTCATCGTTATCAGCGGGCGTGATCAACATTGGCGCTGTCGTCACCATCATTGCTATTCATGGTCGTGTCCACCGTTGTCGGCGTCGCGCTGATTCCGCGCCCGCCCAAGTCACTCAATCGCATTGAAGTGCCCATTGGAAAGTGCCCAGCTCTCAGCGCCACCGCGGCCGCGTCGGTCGCGCCAAACTAGCTGGCCGCTGTGCGCGCGAGCATGCGCGGGCTAGCGCGGCCGCAGAGATGCACCAGCCAACGCCAAGCACTCATCTCAATCGCCGCCGCATGGGTTTTGCAAACCAAGTTGCGGGTGGGTGGATGGGATGTGTCAACGCGTTTGTAAACATGAATTCCACCACGTATATTGCACCACTTGGTATGTCAGGCCACACTGCTTGTGGCCCACGCTGGCTCACACACGGTGCAAGTTTTTTTCCCGGACGCCATGGTTGTTTGCATGCCATTATTATGTTTCGGCCTCCGAGCTATCATGAGATCACTTGGGTTCCGTGAGTCGTTCAAGCTCTCCAGGAGTTTCTCGCGCCCGCGGACGAATTCCCGGCGCACCCGTACGCCGTAGGGCTGGGCCTCGACGACCCGGGCAACTTATGCAGCAAACGGGAGTGGGAGAGGCTTTCGAGGAATAACAAACTACAGAAACACACGTTGTCGGAGGTCCGCGTGGATTTCTTGGACCTGCGCTGAAGCATCTCCCTGGCGCGCGGGGCGCGCCGGGGGCGGCGCCAGAGGCGCCGCCAGGGGGTTCCAGCGCAGATCCAGGAAATCCGCGCGGAGCTCCGCCAGTGGATGTTTGTACGTTTCTTCGTTCCTCCAGGTCCACCCAGAAGTGGAGGAAGAGCCTCAAGGCCTTCGTGGAGAAGTACCGTCCGTGAGGTGGCGCGCGGTGGGCCTCGAGAGGCCGGTGTCGGCGGCGCGGGGCCGCGTCGGGGGGTCTGCGCTGTTGTCGGGGGCAGCGTGGGGGTGCCGTAGAATCTTCGGGCAGCGCCTGCACAATGGCAGCAACTTCGGATTGCACAAGAGCCATCGGTGGATGACCGGCGCCGTGACTTCGACCCAGAAACAAACGACATCACCCCACCTACGCCCCTCCATGTTGCGCTACGGCCCATCGGGCGCCGTAGCGTATACCATGTCAACAATTCCCACGCCTGATTTGCTGGTATACGCTAAGCCCCGTGGGGCCGTATGTGGGGTGGTGTCGTGTGTTTTTTGTTCCAGGACTGGAAGGCGGCGGACCACAGGTGGAGGTGTGGGCATCGGCGGCTGGGACGCGAGACGCTGGAACCACAAGGTCGACGGAGGAGGAACGGGGCGAGAGAGGCCCACAGGGGGGATGCATCGACCCCCGATCGCCCACTGATCGCCGCCAGGAACCTGATACTCGGCAGCGAGTGCAGGGGGGGGAAGTGAGAAGGAGAAGGCCTTCTCAGACGGCGGCGGGGCTTCTCAGACACCCTCGCGCCTTTTGAGAAGTCATCCGTGTCTTCGGGGGAGTTTTCGAAAACTTCTGAGAAGGGCGGGGGACGTCCGAGCCTTTTGGGAAGGCCCGCCCCTTCTCACTTCCCCCCCTCGCTCGCCGCCGACATTGATCACCGACAGGGACCTGATACGGTCGGGGGCACTGACCTCGCGTGTCGCGCCGCTGGTTGTGGCCCACCACGCTTCGGCGCGGCACGCTATCCTCAAGTCGGGCCTGTCCCTCTACAGGAGGGATACCCAAACATAGTTTAAAAAGCAGTCTGGGGACTTATTTAAAACTAGGTTTGAACCTTTTTGGGAATATGCTTCGAGTATTTTTTCAATTTGTTTCGCAACAAAACCCTCCTGTAGGGGGACAGGCCCGACCTGAGGCTATCCCCACCCTGCTTTCCAGGCGTCCACGTCCCGAGCCTTGCTCCCAGCGTGCCGCGCCGAGGCGCGGAGAGCGGCACACGCCCTCCGCTTGCCGGGCCAAGCGTGCCGCCTTGGGCTGGCGCCGCGACGCGGCAGGCAAAAGCTCCCGACCTTCATCAGGAGGGGAAAAAACACACAGACACAAATAATCAGCGATTCCCAGAAAATATAGGAAAATATGGGAAGTGGGGGGAAGACAGAAACCTAGAAAATATGGGAAAATATGGGGGATATCTTTATTTGTGTGTATTTATTTGTGTGTTCCAGTTTCCCTTCACTTCAGCGCGCCCCTCCCGAGCACGTGCCGTTTTGCAATCGGGGGCCTGTCGCCGATCGATCGGCGTCGCATCGCCGATGCCAGCTCCGTGCTCCCCCCCCCCCGAGCCGGGCCCCCCCCCCCCCCCACTGCCGCTGTCCCTCCTGCTGCCGCCGCGGCCCAGCCAGGGCGCAGGCTTCGGTGCACGGCAAGCCCAGGATTGGCGCCACCAGCAACTGGTGGTGGTTTTGGCCCGCGGCGGGCGGCCGTTGCACGGGGCCGAGGCCCAGAGGGAGAAGGGCATGCCGACGCCGCGTCCGCCTCTTCAGGTCTCCTGCGGTATCTCGGGCCGAGCGAAAGGGGGGGATAGGGAAAGGGGGGGTTACGAAAACTGCTGCATGCAGCTGGTCTCGGCCCCGCCGCCAGGTCCATTCCTCGATACATGGGCGCCTCCCGGCGCCGGGAGGCGCCGGGAAAATCAGCTACGCGACCTGATTCTCACCCCCCCCCTTTGCTATCCCCCCCTTTCGCCCGGCCCGAGTATCTTCGCCGCCGCGGCTGGATCCGCCTCGGAGTCGTGGTCGAAGCGCGCCCCCAGGAAGTGGGTTGGGGGCGTGCGGCGTCGTCGTCGTCACGCGGTTGTCCTTCTGGAGGCGGACGCGGTGCCGCCCGCCACCGCGAGGCCTAATTTTAAGTCGGGCCTGTCCCTCTGCAGGGGGACTCTTTAAACATAGTTTAAAAATAGTCAGGGGACGATTTTTTAACCAGTTTGAGTTTTCATTATTTTTTGCGTATTTTTGATTTTTCGCCTAAAATCCCCCTGTGGGGTGACAGGCCCGACCTATTCCTAATTCAGGGGGTGTGGTGCAGGGGTCGCGCGCCTCCGCGGCGTGCTGAGAGCACGTTTTTTTTGCAGGCGTCGCGCGCCTTGATGCGGGCAGAGATTGCCAGCCAGGGCTCGACCCGAACGGTGCTTTCTGGCGATCTCGTGGACAGTTGTCGCTTTGGCTCCGTTTTGCAGCACACGCGGAACGAACAAAGAAGGGACCACGCAACCAAAGCGAAAACGGGAAACGCTGTTTCGGTCGAGCCCTGTCGCCGGCTTCGCAGCCGGCAGCGTCTGCGGTGGGGCGGCAGGCTGCTCGAGAGCAGTGCGGCTGCGTCCCGAGCGCCAGAGTTCCGAGCTCCGCCGCGGGCCTTCGGCCCCGCGCGAAAAGTCCCTCTCTTCCCTCACGGGTCGAAGGTTCGGGGCATACTGGCGTGTCTTGCCTCTGCTGAGCCCCCTTCTGGGGTGCCGTCGGCTTCTCGGATGGGTCCGCCTTCGGACTTTGGCCACAACGCACGCTGGGCAGGCCCGAGGGAGCCATCCACTCTTTGGCAGGCAGGAAGCGGAGTCCAGCGCCATGAGCAGACCAAGGCGGCATTGTTTCGCAGTGGTCGCCCTCCGCAGGGCCGAGCTCTTAGGCTCCAGGCCAATCAATCGATGACTAGCTGCCTGCGGAACGTCCCGCCGTCGTGCCACCCAGCATTCTCGGTGGCGGTTGCTCGTATCGATGGGGATGGCGATGAAGATAATGATGATGGTGATCAAGATGGTCATGATGCTGAAGAGGATGATGGTAGTGGTGGTGATGATGATTCTCATGCTGGTGCTGATGCGTATTATAGCGATGAGCGACCTGCGCTACACCATGGCCATCGACGCGCTGGTCAGCATCATCCACGAGAAGTCAAAGGACGGCTGCATCTTCGCGGTCGTCGACACATGCTTCACCTAAGGTTCTACGGCTCCAGAGTGGTGGAGTTCACGAACCTCACCTTCAACTTCCAGACGAAGGGAAGGACCTCCGCAGGGCCATGCCCTTTTTACCGGGCATCAAGGTCAGACACGGCCCGCGCTCGCAGCCAGAGAATTGTGCTCGCGATGGTGACGCGGTTTGCACGCCGATCCGCATTGGCCTACATGCTCGCTCGCATCTGGCGAATTGTGCTCGCGAGTGCGGCGTAGCGAGCATGCCGATCCGCATTGGCCCTCTGGGGCGATCGCATCTTGCGAAAGATGTTCGCGAATGCTGCGCAGTGAGCGTACCGATCCGCATTGGCTAGCTGGCGCTGGGATGCGCGCGTCGGTGACTGTCAGAGAGCCGCATTGGCCCACTGGAGGTGGGATGTGGGCTTGATTTTCAAGAGCCGCACTGTCCCGCTGGAGGCGGGATGCAGGCTTTGGTTCCGCAAGCCGCACTGGCCTACTGGGAGCGGCAGACAGGTGCCGCAAGCTCGTGAGATAGAAAGGCCTCTCCTGTTTTTGCGCTCGCAGGGGTCTTTGCCCGCGCGTGCCACCTTTTGGATGCCAATGGCCCAGCCGCGCACGATTCACATTGCAGCCGCTTGCGCGTGCCTCTGGAACGACTCGCGGGTTGTGGGCGCCCCTGACGGGACTCCTAGCTGGCGCAGATCACAAGGGGCATTTGTGCCTGGCTATCCCGTTGTCCTGTATGTACCTGTGCGAGGAGGCGGTCTGCTCCAGACGCACCTTGATAGGGGGACTTCCCTCCCAGGTCGCGTCTGGCATCCCGCTGACGCCACTTGTCGTTGCCGCATTTGGGGCAAAGCTCCTGGGTTGGTGGCATCGAAGCACTCGCCGCTGTTTAGTCTCTTGGCGGTTGCGCTCGGTCCTGACAGGCCGTTCTGCGCCCCTGTTTGCCGAGGCGTCTCACGAAGGTCTTCTCCATCTCTACGTGGCTGGATCCCTCGATGGTGCCTCCCATGCCCCGCGTTGCCAGACCTTGATCAGCTCGGCGCTTCGGCGTGCCACAGCTCACGTCCTTGTGGCTGCGCTCGGCTCGAATCCCGTGTCGCGCCCGTTGTGGCTGTGCTGCCGACGTGTTGTGCGCTCTGAGTCCGGCAAGTGCATTTCAGGGCCGCGTTGTGTCCCCGCTGCTGTGGCCTCGCTGATCCCCTGCAGGTTAATAATATTGCACGTGCTGGCGCATGGGCGGGTAGGCAAATCTGGCTCGCTGGTCTTCCTTCTTCTCGTCCTCCTCGTCCTGGGCGGTCCTGCCGCCCGCGCGCGGCCCAAACCCTGTCGCAGTCGCAGCCAGTGGACAGCGTGCACTGCTTCCGCGCCGGAGCGTGCTGCCTGTGCCCGCTGCTGCTGGCGCTCGTGTGCCCGTGGTCAGCTGTGGTATTCACAGCGCAAGCTGGCGGGCAGCGGTGGTTTTGGAGCTGGCAGTCTGGCCAAAAGTGGACTGGCCTCTGCTCGCCCACGGCCGAGCCTGGCGGCCCACAACTATTTTTCAGACCGGGCGGCTTTCTTTGTCTCGCGGACCTCTCACCTGATGTGCTTGAGACGCGCATGGGAACGGCTGTCAGTACCTGATGTTGATGCTGCTGCTGCTGCTGCTGCTGCTGCTGCTGATGATGATGATGATGATGATGATGATGATGATGATGATGATGATGATGGTGATGATGATGATGATGTTGACGGTGGTGATGGTGAGACTGACGCGGGTGATGCTGCTGCTGATGATGATAGATGATGATGGAGATGGTGATGAAGATGATCATGATGATGGTGATGATGGTGATAAGGGTGATGGTAATTGCTCGGAGGAGGAGGAGGATGAGGATGAGGAGGAGGAGGAGGAGGAGGAGGAAGAGAAGGAGGAAGAGGTGGAGGAGGAAGAGGAGGAGGTGGTGGTTGTGGTGGTTGTGTAATTG